CTGTCTCATTCTGGACAGCTCATGTCTAGATTAATCTACTTGGTTTTGAGGCCCACTTGGGGAGAGAAAGGGACTAATGGAAGCAGAGAGGAACAGGGTTATGAGATTCAAGTCCATGACTAAGGAGAAGCAGACATACAGAAAGGGGAAGCTTGGATTGGAGAATCAGAGGGGAGTGTATTACCTCTGTCTTTAGAAATAGTAAGAGCTTGTGGAAGAGAGATTTGTCTTGTTCTGTATCACTGGGGTGGAAGTAGGACATGAGTAAGTTTCAGGTCAAGGTAAAGAGAGTCTTAATAAAAAAAATTAAATGTTCTACCATAGATTCAGCTGCCTGAAAAGGTGGGGAATTCTTGTTAGAGATGTGTATGCAGCTGACCATCACTTGGAAGATGTTGCAAGAGGGACTCAAGCTGATATGCATGGATCCATCAAATTCTGGGAGATTCTCTAATTTCTCTATCTTCTTTTTTGCCAACCTTGTTGGACAGGAAATGTAGGCAGTCAAATGTGATCATGAATTGCCTAAAGGCAAAAGGAACCACATAGTCTTTTTGCCTTTTGTGGTGTGACATTATGTTATCTTCCAAATTACCATCCTATCAAACCTGCTGGGTTTGGTCTGACACAGATCCTTAAGCACAGTGGCAGTAAAACTGTGTAAATGTATATAACAGCCTTTCTCACCCCATCAGGGGATGAAGAGGGTTTGCTAGTCAGAAGCAAGGTCAAGCTGGAGAAATTTTAGATAAAGTCTAAATCCCAAATTCAGAAGGGATGGCAGAGGAAATTGCAGAGAACAACATGATTCATGTCATTGGTTTACTCTCTAGAGGGGGTGTGATTCCCAAATGGGCATGAACATGGGTGGAGTGGAGAGATAGTGTTTAGGAAATCATTGTGATAAATTATCATTAATAAGCTCCTGTGAGCAGAGGAACAGTATGACAATCTGGCAGAGGCGCATAGGTAATAAAGCAATGGTGTCTATCTTAGGCTTCTCAGGCAACCATGACAAAATATCACAGGCTGGAAGGCTTAAACCACAGAAATTTGTTTTCTAACACTCTGAGGGCTAACTCTTCAATGAACTGTCAGGGTTGTTTTCCGGCAAATCCTCTCGTTCTGGCTTTCCAGCTGTTTTCTTGCTGTATTCTCATGGCCTTATTTTTTTTTCCTGTGTGCAAGGAAAGAGAGATTCCTGGTATCTTTTCCTGTTCTTGTAAGCACACCAGTTCTATAATATCATAAGGCCCTACCCTATGACTTCTTTTAATCTTATTATATCCACTATGTGCCTATCTCCAGATATAGTCATATTGGGGTCTAAGGATTCAATACATAAGTTTTGTGGGAAGGAATACAGAAAAGTCCATAATGGTGTCCAATGTAGGTCTTGTAAATATCCTTTAGGGTGACATTATTGTCCTTGTGGGAGAACAAAGGAGAGAAGGGACAGCTGTTTAGAACCAGCTGAGTGCCAGTCATTACTGATTAAGCATCTCATTTGACTCTTTCACAGCAAGTCACGAGAGAAGATGGGAGGCTCACAGATCTTATATGCACCAAGACAGTAAGGGTTAAAGAAAGCATTCCAACTGAAATTTTAAGTTTGTGCTGTTTTTACACTGGATGGAACTTTGCCTTGAAATCCTGCTGAATACCTAGGACTATGTCTTTAAGCCTGAAGCTGTCAGTAAGACTGCTTGGCAGGTCTACGGGAGAAGTAGGGTCTGGGAGAATCTGAGAATGGGATTCAATTAGAATAAGTTATACTCCATGTATTTGTAACATGTCAAACTACACTCTATCGTCATGTATATTTAAAAACAACAACAACAAAGAAGAGTGAAGTGACATGATCGAAGCTTTGCGTCGGTAGGTAACTGTCCATGTGGGTGGTGGGTGAAGTGACAGATAGGAGGGAGATCCATGAGAACATCTGGAAGAATATTTTGTAGTCAGGTTGTGGGGAATGGTAGGCAGCCAAGGTTGATATAGATAGTGCTAGATTCAATGACATTATGAAGGTAGAGTCAGCATTTTGGTAAATGATTGTGAGCTCTGGGGTCAAAGGAAGGAGAGCAGAAAAAACTGAGGATGTGTCTCTGACAGAAGTGAAACTAACCTGGTCCCACAACCTTCTAGCACCCAAAGCACTCCTATCTACATTTTATCTCACTCCGATTGTTGGGCGGGGACAGGACAGCCTGAGATGTCTTAAAGTCCAACATCTCCCTTCAAGTGAGGGATATTAGAGAGGACCTCTTGAATTTAAGATTAATCTAATCCAGTTAATCATTCTGATAATTAAGTTCTAAATTGTCCATAATAGTATGGCATTAGGCTTAATAATTTATCAAGTGATTGATGATAAATGACTGGTTGTCGTTAGGATAGTTCCTCAGAGTAAACAGTATTTGGGGAGATACATGTTTTATTCTATATTTGGGCCATTTTAGGAACATTCTTTTTATTAAAAGTAGACTTTTATCCCCATCAAGCTTTGAATAGACACAGGCTGATATCTCTAAACTACCTGCCTTCCCAGCTTCCTCATTCTAAATGAATGGCATCTACTCAGTTACTCAAATCTAAATCATAGAGTTACTTTTTCTCTTATCAAATTCATTAATAAAGCCTGTTGACTTTGTAAAACCTACCCTCAACCTCTCTGCTTGACTTTATCTCACTCCTACTAACCTAGATAAATCCACCATCCATCCTTACCTAGATGTAGAGATAGCCTCACACCTGATCTCTCAGTTTTCTCCTCACCCCTCCGACCCTATACTCCACACATAATTTAGAGATATCCTTACAAAAAAAATCAGATCTTGTCAGTCCTCTGCTTAAAACCCTCTACTGGCTTCCCATCTACTTAAAATAAAATTCACTTCTCCTGACCTGGCTTACCAGCATCCCCATTACCCAGTGCCTCCTGACTATTCAGGCTCATCTCACACCACCTTCTTCCTGGCCTACCTTACTCCACTCTCCTCTAGTCTTTATGCTTCTCAACCATGCATACCTCTCCCACTTGGAGGTTTTTGCTTTGTTGGAATGATTTCTGCCTGACCTCTGCACAGGTAGCTTGTATCCTTTAGATCTCAATTTAAAGATTGCCTCCACCAAGGGACTTTCTCTGACACTTAACCTCTCTGTCATGCTCCCCCTACTTTATTCTCTTTGCAGCATTTAACCACTCTCTGACCTTTCTTTCTGTGTTCTTTATTTACTATGCTTCTTGTGAATATTTTCATCTATGTTATCTGTGGCTCAATCTCCAGTGTCTAGAATAGCACTAGACACATTTAATAGCTGCTAAGTTAATATTGTTTGGGCCAATGAATGAATGCATTTACACCACTGTTTCCTTCTCATCATTCTAAGGCCTCCTTTTGCCTGGGCCTTCAGAGATATCCCTGTCCTATGACTTAGCTTTTGGCACTGAGTACCATCTGCCTTATATTGGGGAAAGGGGATGGTATAGTTAGGACAGTTTCTTGGAGTAATCTCTCTTTGGGGAAATACATATTTTCTTCCAGATTTGGATCTTTTTAAGGAAAATAATCAAACAACTGCAAACATACTTCTATCTGTTTAGCAAAGATGGGGATAATTATGCAGATGGTCCCTAACTTATGATCACTTAACTTAATAAAGCTTTCAACTTTATTGTGGTATGAAACTGTGCCAGTACAACCATTCTGTTTTTCACTTTCAATATAGTTTTTAATAAAATATACCAGACTGAGTTGCAATGTTCAACAGGTCAGGTGCATTAAATAAAGGCATTTTGGACGTAAAATATTTTCAATTTAGGATGGCTTTATTAGGACATAACCACATTGTAAGTTGAAAAGCATCTGTACATATTTTGTACTTCTCAAATGATTTTGTTCCTTATGCTCCTGCTTATAGGAAGACTCTAGAACTCTCTGGAGTTATTCTGGATCTCAAATGCAATTGAGTTGGTGGCACAGTGTTAGGACTGGTCAGTGCAAGATCCCTCCTATTTCATTTGGTATTTTCTTCTGTGACTTCTATTCACAGTCACATTCTCCTTTTAGATTTCCACTCTTGGGTATTTAAATATGTCCTTCCAATCTGAATTCTAATCTATGTCTTTAGATATGTATATCCTTGCAGTGTTTTGTGCATTTTCTGTACAATCTCAACACCCGCCCCCCACCTTTTTTCAGTATGGAAGATTGAGCTCAGGGGCACTCAACGACTGTGCCACGTCTCCAGCCCTATTTTTTGTATTCTATTTAGAGACAGGGTCTCACTGAGTTGCTTAGCACTTCACTATTGCTGAGGCTGGCTTTGAACTTGTCATCCTCCTGCCTTAGCCTCCCGAGCTGCTGGGATTGCAGGTGTGCACCACCATGTCCTTTTTTAAAAATAAAAATACTTTATGGATTTAGAAAATTTGTGTTATTATTAATATTATCTTTTGCTACTTGGCACCACATGAAATTACATAGTTTAGTAGGAATCACTCTGAAATTATCAGCTCCATGCCCCTTGTTCTTTGACAAGGTGACCAAGACCCAGAGGCTTCTTTTAAATAATTTCTTTTAAGAACATTATCTATATTTACTGAAAGCCAATGTTGGACAAGGCTTGAAACCCCCAGGCATGCTGAGAACATAGACATGAATGGTACAGGCCCTGAATGCAGGGGACTTTTAGAGGATCCTGGCATGATGTATGTCTTCCCATCATCTTCACTAATGGACATTAGGCTCACAAAAGACTTACAGATGATCTGATATGGGGATCATCTGCCATCTGCTCCTTTGCCAATTCTTTCCTTTCATCTCCACTATTTCCCAAGTCCCCATGTCTGCCTTGGGAGCTTGTGGTATCAACAAATTCTAGCACAAAGTTTCAGTTTTCCTCTTTGGAATGGCATGTTTCTTCTTTATTTGGCCTACCCGGAATGTCCCAGTCATGTATAGAGTCTTCACCTGACTTTAACTTTGTGTTTCCAGATTGGAGCCTCTCTCTTCGCCAGTAACATTGGAAGTGGCCACTTTGTGGGGCTGGCTGGGACTGGAGCAGCTTCAGGGATTGCCACTGGAGCCTTTGAATGGAATGTGAGTAGCATCAGTGCCACTGTGTTGGAGAAGAAAAGAACCTGTACCCATCTGTTTTGAGTTACTATTATGAAATACCAGATGTCAGCTAAGTTTATGAAGATGAGGTTTATTTAGCTCATGGTTTTGAAAGTCAAAAGTCCAAGTAGCATGTTGCAGGTTCTTGTGAGGGACCCACTTGACTGTGGCATTTCCTGGTGGAAGACAATAGCAGCATTGTGTGTGAGAGGTAATATCACCCAAAATAAGAAGTCAGAGAGATGGGTGGGGCCAGAGTCAGGCATTTATAACACTTTCTATAACTACCAAGGGGTCACTCCAGAGCTACCTTAATCCCTTCCATGAGCAGCACCCACAGTGACCTAAGAACCTCATACTATGCTCCGCCTCATACTATGTTCCACCACCTCCCACTATCCTGAGGACTAAGCCTCTAATACATGAACCTTTAGGGGACATGCTAAACAATACCCAAGCTATAGCAGAACCTTAGCACTTAGCCAGGTCAATTGATGTCCAGAGGAGCTTCAAATACTAAGGGACTCCTCAGAGCCATCCTGGGATGCAGATGGAGGAGCATGGTTTTAGGAGCCCAGGTGTTCTGTTTTCCTTCCACCAGAGTAGCATGAGAGATACACTGGAAGGATGGTAAGAGTATTTTTTTTCTTTCCTTTTGATGTTACAAAGATGAGGCCCAAGTACCTTTCTAGCCATGTTAGAAGTTTGGAAATGCTTATCACCAGATATTATTATTATTATTATTATTCTCTAAATGGTATTTTACCTCCGTGTAATACAAGAAAGAGTCAAAGGAGATCTCAGTCCTCTGGCTGGGGCCCAGGGCTGTGATGATAGCAATAGCTTCCTGGGTTTCCTCTGTTGTTGCCCAGTTTCTGTTTCTTTGGGCCAATTGGGCAACTAAGGCATCCTACAGCCTTTAATGGCCACCTAAGAGTTGTTCTTCAATCCAAAAACCAAAGTGCTGGGTGATTTTTCTGCAGCAGCTGAGGGGTCCTTCAGGTAAGTAGGGATGGGTTAAGGTTCCTCCTGATTTGAATCTATCTCTTCTTTTGGTTTCAGGCCCTGTTTTTGGTGGTTGTGCTGGGCTGGATATTTGTTCCCATTTACATAAAGGCTGGGGTAAGTACCCACTCTGTTGTTCCCTGCTGATACACACACACACACACACACACAAACACACACACACACACACACACACACACACACATACGTGAATTTGATCCTTCTGGATGACAGAGGAGACTTTGTGGAATAAATGGCAAAGATAACCTGTGTTTGCTTTTAGTTCTAGGTTGTAAAATAGTTTCTGGCTCCCTAGGGGCACTGAACAGTGACACTGGCTCTTTTCTGTCAAGACTCATGACTCTTCCCTCTGAGAAGGTTTCCTAAGAAATACCACACTAATTGAACTCCTCTGAAACATCCTGCTCTCTCACTCTGGGTGTGTCCCTGTACTACCTGGCCATGCATTTGCTCTTGATGTACAACTATGTCAAGTTTCTGCCTCTAGAAAGGAAACAGATTCAGAAAAAGAACTGTGTTTCCTCTTTATTTATGTACATCAGTAGTTCTTATTTGCTGAGCATGCAGCTGGTACTCAACTATCAAATGCATCCTTGGACTCCTGACTATGTCTCTCAGACATTTTACATACCTGTTCAGTGAGATATACTGAGCACCCCCTATATGTAAATTTACATATTAGGAGCTAAAAGCAATGTGGGAAAAACAGGGAGGGTGCTATATCTTCTATAGACTCACAGATTGATGGTGACATGTTTGGTTCCAGAGGACAAGAGGCTTGGGTCAGAAAAAGTGATGTCGAAAGTGTGATTAGAATTTGCAGGAAGGAACTGGGAGAACATTTGGGCAGACTTACAGCTACAATACTTGACACTGCCTATCTGAAGAGCATAGTGAAGTTCACACCCAATCTAGTTGACTAGTTTGGTACATTGGCAAGATGCCATCCATGTTATGATGTCTTGTTTTTCAGTAGGTGCTCTATATAGGAATGTATCCCTCTCTATATGTCTATATCTATATATATACATTTCCCCTCCTCTTCAGGACAATGATATGCTTCCTTAGTTAAGTCCAGTTATGTATTCATTCAAAAACAGGTTTTTATTTGGCACTTTCTATGTTCTGGGATAATGCCTAGCTACTCCTATAGTGGTAGGGCAGGTGAGATTGAAATGAGCAAATGGCTGAATGTCTGTGGTCACCTGGCCATTTTGCAGATTTCCCAGGCCAACAAGGATAATGAATCCTTGACCATACTATTATGACTCTAACACCAAGATGGCTCTCATTTTTTCTGTGTTCTCTGGGCTCTCTGGTCACTCTAGCTGGTGATGACCTCTCTTGCATTCCATGCAGGTAGTGACAATGCCAGAGTACCTGCGGAAGAGGTTTGGAGGCAAGCGGATCCAGATTTACCTTTCTGTTCTGTCCCTGCTGCTCTATATATTCACTAAGATCTCGGTGAGTACGCTGCACTGTGGACTGGGCCCTGGCTGCCTCAGAAGCTGCCCACTGTCATTCACCAAGAGGCAGCTCTATGTGTCTCTATGAACTTGGTTCCATAAGCTTTCTTGCTGCTCAGGGTAAAGTCCTGTTTCATGTATCAAAGAGCCAGTGAAGTTTAGTGGAACTCCTTGTTCCCCACTGTGGCACAGGTTGGGAACATAACAGGTTTATGAATTTTCAGTGAAAGCTGTTCTTAATAGAAAATTAAAAGGGAGTTAAGGAATTAGGATATACCATATGATCCAGCAATCTCATTTGTAGGTATATATTCAAAGGAAATGAAATTAATATGTCAAAAAAATTCAGGGCAGAGGAAGTAATATCAGAATGTGATTAGAATTTGCAGGAAGGAACTGGGAGAACATTTAGCAGACTTGGAGCCATAATCTTTGGCACTGTCTGGGTGAAGAGCATGATGAAGGTCACATCCAGCCTAGTCAACGTGTTTGGTACAAATCTGAATTTTTGAATATGTCAAAAAACAAAACAAAACAAAAAAAACAAACTCTCATGTTAATTGCAACATGATTCATACAGTCAAGACATGGAATCAACCTAAGTACCCATCAACAAATAAATGGGTACAGAAAATGTGGTATATTACACATAATAGAGTACTATTTAGTTTTTCTCCTTTTTCTTATCCTACCCCATCCAGCGCCAAAGGAGAGATTAAACCAATCTCAGCATTTTGCAAAAGATCTGCCCTGGCTAATATCTGAGGTGGGTTGGATTTGAAGTGAGTCTTTACTGTAGCTAAGCAGGGCATTGGGGAAAAAAAACAGTTGCCAGTGCTTTCATTTTTCTGATTACTTAAAGCTGAGATAACAACATAATTGAGTAACATTTGCAACATACATAAACAGAGGTAGAATACAAGTACTCAAATATCTAGTATTAATCATTTGGCTTTAATAATTAACAATATTTTGCCATTTTCAGCAATATTTTACAATAGATCCTAGAGATCATGTCATTTCTCTGTAAATTCTTCAGGATGTACCTTTGGCTTCCTAAATTCATAACTATTGTGCTATAATAATGTCTACCTAAAATTATAGTGATTTCAAAATTTAGGTTGTTTAATAGCTATTCCATAACCAAAATTTCCTGATTATCTCAAAACACTCTCTTAATTAGTTAGTTTGACTCAGAATCCAAATGAGGTTGTGTTTGGTTATTCTTTCTTTAAAGAAAATCTACCAGAATTATTTTTGCTTTCTGTATTATTACCCTCCTGTCCTGGCCTACGTCTACATGTTTTAAAAAATATAGGTTTTTTCCTGCCTTTTTGTTGTTCAGTTGTAAAACATCCTTGTATATTCTGGATCCCAGATCCTTATCAGATATGTAACTTGAAAATGTGTTCCCTTATTCTGTAAGTTCTTTTTCACATTATTAATAATAGCCTTTGATGCACAAATATTTTAAATCTTGGTGAAGTTCAATTTATCTATTTTCCTTTTTAATCCTTTTGGTATAATTTCTAAGATTCCATTGCCAAATCCAAGGTTCTGGAGATTTGTCTACACGTTTTCTCCTGAGTTTCATAGCTTTAGCTTTTACCTTCAGGTTTCGTCTCTATGGAGTTAATTGTTGTGTTTGGTGTGAGATAGGCATCCAACTCCATCCTGTTGCCCGTGAATATCCAGTTCTCCCAGCACTATTTGTTGAAGAGACGGTTGTTTCCCATGAAAGGCTTTGAACATGCTCTCATTGATAAAGCTGATAGGTTTTTGTCTCAGGAGTTGGGACTGACAACCAGAAATCATTCTGCCTCCTTTCTGACTGCTCTCCTACTGTCCTTGACCTGTGCCAGCCTTCTGACTAGTGCCTTTGTGCTTTCTCCACTAATAGAAGGATTCTCCCTCCTTTTCATTCTCCTCTTCTCCTTCAGGGTTAGTTTTTAGCTACAAGATGAAAACTCTGGCCTTTTCAGTTTTATTGCACTGGATGTCAGACTGGCCTAAGACTGGAAAGTGCTGGTAGGGCTGAAGACATCAGACCCCAGCTTTATAAAGGAGCGGAGGGCACTAATCTAAGATGAGAAAAAGGCAGATAAGCAGGAGGGTGGAAAGGTCACTCTAAAAGTAGCAGGAAGCTGGGGATGCAATTGCCCTTCAGTCCAGCTTGTGAGGTGGTACCAGTCTCTTGAGCACATAGAGAAGGGTAATGGGTTTCCCCTTTTCAGAGGCAAACATTTTCCAAGTCCACAGTTCAAGCTGGTGAAAGTCTGTTGACTGCAGTTGCCATGGAAAGGGCACTCTTTGCCCTTGGAGCTGGTGTAGGGGTAGTCATATAAATAAATGGCCAACCTCTCTTCCTGCCTTCCCTGTCACCCCACCTATTTTTCAGGTTACTGATTAAACCTCCTTGGATTGAGAGTCCCCAGGTAGGTGAGGGGCATCCTCTTTCTGCTCAGATCTTGATGAGGAATGTTTCCTAGCATCAGTTTTTTTTTCTAAATTTTGCTTTTGAATCAGGGCATGGCATTGTCTGTTGCCTCTCTGTATAATTCCCGGTGCTCCCTACTCAAGCCCTAATGAACATCATATTTGTTCCATCTGTTGCCCAAACATAATCCCTTGACAAATGCTTAAGAAGGATGATAGCTGCACTTAGTGCCAGTATTTTTATTTAGTCTTCAGTAGAGCCTTTACTTCCACTATCTCTTGTTCTCATAAGTGTACCACATTGTTAGGGATTTCTTTTTTTACTTTTCACTTCATGGAAGAGAAAATGACGCCTCAGAGAAGTGAGGTAATTTTCCCCAGCTAGCATAAGGCAAAGGCAGGATTGGAATCTAGTCTGTCTAGTCTCAAAGTCTGTGGTTTCACGCTTTTGCACTGCGCTTACATAAAATGAAGGTGGAAAATGATGAAATGGGATAGATTAGCTAGTTCTATGTCCTAAGCTCTCATTTTATAGATGGACAAATGAGGTTTAGGGAGGGAAAGGGACTTTTGGGGGTTAAAGAGGAGCAGAACCAGGATGAGAATCAGGTTTCTTGATACTGATTTCAATCTTTTGACCTTATGTGTCTTCTTTCTTTCATTCCTCCAGTACAGAGAGGGTTAAAACTTAAGACTGTATGAAAAATTAAGAGAAGCAGTTAAATGAATCTCATAATATAAACGAGTTGGTGAGAGAAGGATCTGAAAGGACTGTAACAGGAAAACATCAATTGTACGCTGGGTGTGTGGAGGTCCTGAAGGAGGGAGGTGTGTGGAGAGAGACAAGGCTTTGGCTGTACATTTGGCTGGCTTCAGGTTTACCATGGGGCATAGAACTTGAAATTTTATAAAGAAATACATACACAGAATTCAGACATGAAAACAAAAGAAATACATTGATGTCAATTGTACCTGCTAGGAGCCCAGTACACAGGAGTGCAGGGATCATGGATAAAAAAAAAGAACTATTAGTTTATAAAGTAACTGAGTATACTAGTAGTAGGTATAGTTTGTATTACACACAAAGATTAACTAATTTGTGTATTTGTGTGTGTGTGTGTGTGTGTGTGTGTGTACAGACAGTTTGTGATACATGACAAGAGAGGAGAGAAGGCTTTGTGGGATCCATGTACAAACCAAGAACAGCTAGAGACTTGCCAGGAAGGTTTTGAGAAGACACAGAAATTCAATATGTATAGAATTGGTGGTAGACAGCAAAGCATATTGCAGGTGTGTGGGTAGTGGTGGCATGGAGCCTTTGCTATGGCTACCATCTTGAGGTCATATTCTTTCCAACTCAGAGACTCTGAACTGATTGTCTTTCTATGAACTTCTGCATTTTATTGGTTCCTTTGAGCACCTTCCTTATCAAGCTCTGAGAAGCATTTTATTCTGGAGGTTTCCTGGCATGGTGCATCTTATTCAAATATGTGCAGTCACTTGAGATACAGCCTCAGATTTTATGAATTACATGTGATAATTGAATGTCCTTGTTTGTATTTCCTAAGTTATTATCACAGATCATGACTGCAATGAACTTTTACTGCAACTCTGCTGTCCATTTGGGATCCTTGGGTAAAAATAAAAGCTTTGGCTTTTGCTTAAGGTTTGAATGCTTATTACCTGGGCTATTCACGTTCACAGATAGAAAGAGAAATTTGAGCAATGATGCTTCTCCATCTGAAACCTCATTGCCAGGTAGGATTTATTGGGTGCTCAGATACATCTTAGAACCAGAATGGACAGCAAACACACATGACAAATCACAGCATCTTAAAAACATCCTCACTGAAACCAAACAACCTACAGAAGGCTCACCAATATCAGACTCAGTTAGTCCCAAATATTTTCTAGTTAGGGTCTGAATGTTTTATTGTTCCCTAAGAGTCCCATGGAAACTGATGAGCTAAACTTTCAAAGCCCTTGGGAGAAACCAACCTACTATTTGCTCGTGTAAATAACGTTTTCTTGGAACACAGAAAAGCCCATTTGTTTATGTTGTCTATGATGCTTTCATGTTTCACCTGCAGAGCTGGAATAATGATATGGCTTGAAAAGCTGAAAACATTTCATACCTGACTCTTTACAGGGAAAAAATTGCCAATCCCTGAACCTAGAGGACTATACTTTTCTATTTCACTTTGAGTTGATTTTCTTTAGCAATATCAGGGAAATTTCCATCTCTCTCCCTTTTTTTCTTTTCTCTTCTTCCTTTTTTCTTTGCTTGCTTTCTTCCTTTTTTCCTTCTTTCCTTTCTTTTTTCTCTTTTCTCTCTTTTTCTTAAGGCATTTAACAGTAGTGTAGGAAAGGAGCAATCTGGGATGATTACATGTGAAACAAATTACCTCAGAGGATTATAGAATACTCCTTTTATATCAAAGCTATGTATTATTCAAATATGCATCATCACTTGAGATAAAACCTCAGTTTTATGAATTACACATGATAAGTGAATGTCCTTGTTTGTATTTCCTGGGGCTATTATCACCATTGTTCTCAGGGCTATTACCATACCACTATTATGGTGTATTTCCTCTGCTTTTCTAAATAAAAATAATTTAATGAAATATTTGAAACATACAGAAAAGCAAAAGAATAATCATATGGCAAACGCCTTAATATCTATCCACTCAAATTTTATAGATCTAACTATATATTATTAATTTATTGTGGTATGGGGATTGAATGGAAAGGAGCTTTACCACTGAGCTACATCTTCTCCACTGCTCTTAGCTCTTCTTTTCATTTTAAGACAAAGTCTCATTAAGTTGCTGAAACTGTCTTTGAATTTGAAATTCTCCTGAGTCACTGAGATTACAGGTGTGTGCCAACACACCTGACATAATTTATCATTTTTAAAAAGTGTTCACCTTTGGGCAGAGTGATAATTTTTCAGCATTTAATATTTTACTTTTCAATATATAACTTCCCATGCTGTTTGTTTTAAAATCACACACATTGTTTTATTTAAAATTTTATTTTATTTTAAAAGTCAATTTTTAAAAAAATGGTTAAAATGACTACAGAAAATATCACAGAAAAGTGATTCCTTACTTTTCAATGTTGTTTTGAGGATCAAAATAACATGGGCATCTGGAAGTCCTTAGTAAACTATAAAATTCTCTGGAAAAGTAGGGGGGTGGGGAACCTAGTAGTGAAGCATGAAATTAGGGCATCAAGAGACACCCAAAGACTAATGCCAGAAACCCCAGGCTAAAGTGAGTTCACTCAAATACAGTCACTTTCATGAACTCAGCTATCATAACCCCAGGCGTTTCTGCTGATATTTGGGGTTTCAAGGGCAGAATCTATTTTGGAGTTGGGAATGACTCATGGGAGAAAGAATTTATTCACCAGGGAGGTTTTCTTAGAATTCTTTATCTTTACTAGAGAAATAGAATGTCATAGAACAAGATTTCTATGAGTTCAACACTTCAAGAAGTCTTTATAAACTTCATTTATAGAATTATCTTGGGGTTGTGTAATACTTGTCTGAGACTAATGACAGTAAGGCAATATTAATGAGAGAATCACAGTCTACAATGATATGTTATCCTAAAGCACTAAAAATTACCTTCCATGGAAAATAAGCCAATTGTGGGCATTTCTAAGGCAATAGTAGCAGCCTCTTTTTATAGCTCATTTGTGTTTGTTAGCTAATCCACCAAATCAAAAGTGTGTGAATTTGACAGCATCCTGCTGTAATCTTGAATAGGATCCCTTTAATTTACATAATTTCATGTAACTGTTTGGAGGCATGGGATGGGAGGAACTGGCATTATGAGTATTCATCACAATTTCAAATGTGCAATCAGAAAAAAGTGGTTATTTACATTTAGCAAGCAAGGAGTACAGCAGGGGTTCTTTCCTCCTCTTGGGCTGCTACAGAGGGCAGGATGCATCCATCCAGGATCTTGTTGGGGAATGTTTTCCTTGGCTGCAGTCCTTTCCCATTTCCAGCCACTAAGACAACCATCTGGAGGCAGGACGTCCTGCTTTAAAGGCACTGAGAAGTAGAGAAGCAAAATGTTTTGCCTAGGGTTACTCAGTGATGTACCTAAAACTCAGGTCCTCTGACCACCAGCTTCCAGTGAGGGGGTGACTTTCTAAGTCATCCCCTCTCTTCCCACCTCCTAGCTCTGCCTATTCTCCTTCACCAAGAATGATGATGGCATTAAGTCTCTTCAATGAGAATCTTCAGGGAAGATCTGGATGACTGGAACTAAGTCATGGGTTCCTCAGAAGCCCATCTTGGGAGTGGGGGGTTGATTCATTCTCCAGGGCTCAAACATTAGCACATAAGTATGAAATTACATTATACCAAATAATAGAGGCAAATAAGAGAGACAGTAGTGAGGAGATTCCACTGGGAGAGTGTCTTAGTATGTTTTATGTTACTATAACAGGATACCTGAGATTGCATAATTTATAAAGATCAATTTCTTATAGTTTTGGAAACTGGGAAGTTCAAGGGCACAGCACTGGCATCTGGTGAGGGCTTCCTTGCTGTTCCTAACATGTGGATCACATGGTGATAAGGAGCCTGGAAAGTACAGTCTCTCTTCTTGTCCTTATAAAGTCAACAATATTATGGAGCTCCTGTCCTTGTGGTATTTTCTAATCCTAATTACCTCTCAAATGTCCCATCTTTAAATATCATCAACATAAGGATTTGGGGGTTAAGTTTTCAACAAGTGAACATTTGGAGGACACATTCAAATCTAGCAGCAGGACAGGAGGGTGTTGTGGGGCATCTCAGCCACTAGGGAGAACTGAGGAGCTGCAGTAGAGGGGGAGAGAGGAGATGAGACTGAGAGAGGGTGAGTCCAACTCTATTGACCTGTTCCCCAGGACTCTGCTGGGCAATTTTTGCAAGCCCTGAAATGATTCTGTGCAATAAAACATCTCACTCATCTCCATCTAGGGGAAGACAACCTTATTCTTTATCTAAATGTTTGAAAAGATTCACCATGATCATTCCTTAATATTAATCTTTCCTGGTAGTGCAGTATTTTGGAGATGACATGAAAATTGATTTTGGTTGATCCTTACGCCCTCTGCTGTTGTATATTAGCAACTACATCATCCAGCCAGGTAGAAGGCTAATTATGAGAGGGCTGAGAGACACAAGGAGAAAGAAGTCATGGAAGAACCGCACCAAGAATATATTGAGTTCAGGAGAAATAAATGGAACAATTTCCCTGAAAGTCTGAGTCAAGATGAACTCCTTCTGGGTCAGGAAGATAAAATTATAATCTTTCTAAAGTTCTCTCCATTCTTCAGTTGGGGTTGCGATCCCCACTCATGGATTCTTTGGCACAAAAACTTGTGTTTGGGAATAGATCTGACAGACTTGTGTACATTGAGGTATAAATTATGGATAATAGCTAAGAGCAGCAGACTACAGGTGAGTTAGGAGGAACATCAATAGTTAATAGTTACTCCTTGGCAAAAGTTAAATAAGTTGGTGAAGTTGTATACTGTGCTCATGTTTGCTTCTATGGATTCACAGAAAATGAAGGTTCAGAGAAGGTGTGTGGCAAAGAAATTGCCTTAACTTTTTAAATTTAGCATTTTCCACCTTTTTAACCATGAAATCCTTTTTCTGGATACAAATTATCCTCCTGAATAAAGCTTGGGAATACAGTATGCACTCTGTGGCTAACTGGCTTCTGCCACTTCTAACCTGCCTCTCCTCTTCTTCTAGGCAGACATCTTCTCTGGAGCCATATTCATCAATCTGGCTTTGGGCCTGGATATATACCTGGCCATCTTTATCTTATTAGCAATTACTGGGCTTTACACAATCACAGGTGAGTCTGTTCAAGTGAACTGGCATCTCAAGTTCAGCCCAGTATTAGGCATTTCTTGAAGAAGAGAGATACACCCAGGAAACAGTTTGAGAATGGGCATTTTCTGGGTATCTACTAGTAGTTACCTGAGTGGTCTCAGAAATCTCCAGTAGAGGCTGGGATAGGGCAACTTCTTACAGGACCTCAGGGAGAGTTTGGCCCTGCAGATTGTAGAAACAATGTGACTAAATTGGGAACATCAGAGGAGTTTCAGGTGCAAGATTGGAGAACTGAGAATGGAGGTAGGAATGGCAGGCCATGAGGTGGAGGCAAAGTAAGCAAGAGGATGCACCTGGCTGAAGGAGAGTGGCCACTGAGGAGTAATGGGGGGCGAGTGTGGGCCATAGGCTTGATAATTCAAATGAGGTACAGAGGCCTTGGATTTGATATTCTGGGGACTGGGAGCTACTGTAGGAGGGAGAAAGGGTTGCAGAGGTGTCACTTTGCCTAGTTTGGGAAGGTCAGGAGCAGCAATGAAACTTACAGCTGAATTGGGGCTCCATATCTTTGAGGACTAAAGTTACTCAGATAGTCTGAGAAACAGTGATGGACATAGAAGTGGCCCTCTGAAATGTGGCAATATGGTAATGTTCCCAGGCATCTCCCTAGTCAGCTCTTTGCTCCTCTTTGCCTTCATTTGGAAGCTGCTTTCTCTTACTATAGAGCAGCCATCTCCTTTGAGCCATCCCTTGGCTTAACATGGTCAAATCAGGTTCTTCAGAACATTCTCCTTTCCATAAGGCCTTGAGAACATTTCTGTGAAAAGCAGAGGTTGAGAACACACTTTTAAATAGCAGAATACCGTAAAGGGTGGGGAGGAAAGGCAGGTTGGTGACTGGGGATGGGGAGGTTTCTCAGATTTGTGTACAAGAAGTAGAGGTTGGGATGGGTGATAGGAGGCAGACTTCCACATGAGGTCAGCTATGTTGTCTTCTTGCCTGCGTAGGGGGCCTGGCAGCTGTGATCTACACGGACACCTTGCAGACAGCAATTATGCTGGTGGGGTCTTTTATCCTGACTGGGTTTGGTAAGTGGGGGAAGGGCAGGCTGAGGAGGGGGTGGGGGAAGATATACAGAGCCAGGCAAAGAAAGTTCGGCTTCTCTCCTTGCTTCCTGCCAAGCTGTGAATTTGGGCAGTCTGTGTCCTTTTAAGGGCACTGGTCCAACCCACTTTGGCCATCACCCTGGGGTACAGAGGTATTTTCTTCGTCTTGGGAGGACTCAGCTTGAGGCTCCTGTTCTCCCTTGATAGCTTCAATCAGTTGACCCCAGTGTGGGCCTCTCTGTGGAGAAATTGAGGGGGCAAAAAAGTGATAGATGAGGCTTAATATCCATTAAGCTAAATATATTCTTACATTTTGAAGTTAAATGTCCACTCTCATGAGTTATTGACAGTATGTCATAATTTTCCTTTCAATGTCCTTCTTTGAAAAAAATTGGCCACTTAATGTTGCCTTCCACCTCCTCATTTCTTGCCTAGAAAATCCTAACGACAACATTGGAGAGTCTATTTTTTCTCCATTGTATGTTTTTGGCACCTTTGTCTAATATAAAATAATTGTAATTTTGTGGGTTAGTCTCTGTGTCCTCTATTCTGTAACATTGGTCTACTGGTCTATTTTGTTGCCAATACCATGATGTTTTTGATACTCTTGCACTGTAGTATAGTTTCAGGTCTGTTATAGTTGATGCCACCTGCTTCACTCTTCTTGGGAAAACTGGAAATCCATATGCAACAAAATGAAATTAAAACCCTATCTCTCACCATGTACAAAACTCAATTCAAAGTGGATCAAGAACCTAGGAATACAACCAGAGACTCTGCATCTAATAGAAGAAAAAGTAGGCCCTAATCTCCATCACGTAGGATTAGGCTCCAACTATAAGACTCCTATAGTGCAAGAATTAAAGTTAAGAATCAATAAATGGGATGGATTCAAACTAAAGTTTCTTCTCAGCAAAAGAAACAATCTGTGAGGTGAATAGAGAGCCTACATTTGGGGAGCAAATCTTTACCCCTCACACATCAGATAGAGCACTAATCACTAGGGTATGTAAAGAACTCAGAAAGTTAAATACCAAAAAAAAAAAAAACCAAATAACTCAATCAATAAATCAGCAAAGGCTCTGAACAGACACTTCTAAGAACATGATGTACAATCAATCAACAAATATATGAAAAAAAATGTTCATCATCTCTAGCAATTAGAGAAATGCAAATCAAAACTAAGATTTCATCTCACTCCAGTCAGAATGGCAGCTATTACGCAGACAAACAATAAGTGTTGGCGAGGATGTGGGTAAAAAGGCATATTCATACATTGTTGGTGGGACTGCAAATTGGTGCAGCCAATATAGAAAGCAGTATGGAGATTCCTTGGAAAACTATGAATGGAACCACCATTTGACCATCTATTCCTCTCCTCAGTCTAGCATATTACAGGAACACAGCCACATCAATATTTATAGCAGCACAATTCACAATTGCTAAATTGTAGAACCAACCTAGATGTCCTTCAGTAGATGAATGGATTAAAAAAAAGTAGTATATATACAGATGAAATATTACTCAAGAAGAAAAGAGAATAAGATTATGGAATTTGCAGGTAAATGGATGGAGTTGGAGAAGATAATGCTAAGTGAAGTTAGCCAGTCCCCCAAAACCAAATGCCATATGTTTTCTCTGATATAAGGAGGCTGATACATAATGGGGTAGAGAGGGGGAGCATGGGAGGAATACACAAAGTCTAGATAGGGCAAAGGGGTGGGAGGGAAAGGAAGGGGGCATGGGGTTAGAAATGATGATGGAATGAGATGGACATCATTATCCAAAGTACATGTATGAAGACACGAATGGTGTGAATATACTTTGTATAAAACCAGAGATATGAAAAATTGTGCTCTATATATGTAATATAAATTGTAATGCATTCTGCTGTCATATATAACAAATGAGAATAAAATAAAAAAAATTTAAAAGACAACATTGAAAAGCTATGTCTAGGGATAGTTGTTAAGAGAGGATGTAGAATGCATTTCATTTTTAGGTGCACAAGAACTTTTACCTGTCCTGGAAAGTTTTGTATATTCTCTGTAGTGTTCAGTTTTCCAAGAACTTTCATTTGGTATGAAAGCTCCCTAGTAGGCCCTGTGGGTCAATAAGAAATGACTTGTCAAGGGCCCATACCTGAGAGGTAGCAGGGTTCCAGATTCCTCATCTTCTTGGTTATCAAATTCCACTGCTAGGACCAGAGGTGGTAGGTCTCTGTCCAGGTTCTTACTGGTCACTGAGGGTCTCTAAGCCTGTGATTTGAGTTCCAAAGACCATGGCTGACAACAGGGAGTGAGGAAAGAAGTCTTTGCATGTGATCCCATACTAAGAACTTCATTTAAGTCATTGAGATACCTTCCATTTTGTAAAGAAGTTTGTGTTTAGAACATTCTCACAAGTTTTTGCTTTGGATCCTCATAGTAGCCCCCAAGGGGGCTGGGCAGGGTTAATAATTCCATTCTATGGTTGAGAAAGTGGAGCACAGAATGGGAAAATAACTTGCTCAAGACCACACAGTAAGGGCTCTCTCTGGTGGTGGTGTCCTCTCAAATTCTCAGGCTCCAGAGATGAAATCTCTATGAAGAGTTGGAAATTTCAGACTGTTTTTGTACCAATGTTTTCCAGCTTTCAATGAAGTGGGAGGGTATGAAGCCTTCATGGAAAAGTATATGAAAGCCATTCCAACCTTAATTTCTGATGGAAACACCACCATCAAGGAAGAATGCTACACTCCAAGGGAAGACTCCTTCCACATCTTCCGAGATCCCCTGAAGGGAGACCTCCCATGGCCTGGGCTCATCTTTGGGCTGGCCATCCTCGCCTTGTGGTACTGGTGCACGGATCAGGTACTCAAGCCGGATAGGCAGGGTGTACAGATTTTCCCCAGGGAACTGCAGAGATTCTTGCCTACCTGTGGCTTGTGGGGCTGGGAAACATAGGGGAGGCCTCACATGGTCTTGAGTCTCAGGCCAAGGACTCAGGATGGGGAACCTAACTGTCGGATATCATGGGATCTCAGGGCTGCAACCCACTCTCACTGGGCTTTCCATGGCAGGTGATTGTGCAGCGCTGCCTCTCAGCCAAGAATATGTCTCACGTGAAGGCCGGCTGTACCCTGTGTGGGTACATGAAGCTGCTGCCCATGTTCCTCATGGTGATGCCAGGGATGATCAGCCGCATTCTCTACACAGGTAATACCTTCTGGGAGACTCATGGACCATACTCATTTCTCTACCTCTGGATCACTTCTAAAGTCCCTAACTTTCTGCTCCCTGTAGTCTGCCCTCTTCTTGCCATGATTCCCAAGCATCATTTTTCCCTCTGATTAACAATGAGCAATTTGAGGACAAAGACGTTTGGAGTTGTCTTCCCTGGTTTCTTACACTGGCAATTGTTTTCTCATTTTATTTTTCAAATCTTCTAAAGTCGCAATATGCATCCAACTTGCCTCTTCCATTTAATAACATGTGTTCAATTATAGCTCCTCCACCTACCCCAGGCTTGTTTCTTCTGTTAGGAAAAAAAATACAGTCGATCTTTTATATTTATGATTTGCATGTCCATGTTTTTAACCAACTATGGATGGATTGAAAATATACAGAAAAAATTTCATCTATACTGAACATGTGTAGCCTTTTTTGCCTTGTTATTGTTCAACATGGTACAACAAATGTTTACCTAGCATTTATATCATACTAGGAATTATAAGTAATCTAGAGATGATTTAAAGTATGCAGAAAGATATATATGTGTTATGCAAATTCTATACCATATTATATAAGGTAGTTGAGCACCTGCAGAGTTTTGTATCCACTGGGTGTCAGGTAGTGTCCTGGAACCAGTTCCCTCTAAGGACACTGAGGGAAGACTGTATAACTAACTGAATGGTTTATATTCTACTGCATGTTATACATACTTGTTTACAAAATAGTGCTATGGTTGAATATAGGGCAGCACTAAATGAGATATTCTTGTAGCAAGTGTTGAACAAATATTTGTTGATCTGAATCCTTATGCACATTTCTAGAATTCTCTCTAAAACTCTAGACCATGTTCCTTTCCCTCTCAGGCTACTTACTTTTTAATCCCAGATTTCCCATATCTCGGAGGTGGTATCCAACAATCCTGTCACAGAGGAAATTTCCTCAGTTATTTAGACATGTGACTCTACTTCTAAGAGCTGCTTAAAATAAATCTGGAGGACAAAACTCTGCAGGTGCTCATGTGCCTTATATAACATGGTCTAGAATTTGCCTAACCTATGCATATCTTTGTGGTTAGGAACCACAGATCACTGTGCTTTTACAGGAGAAAACAAGGTAATTATCACTGTTGAGCTGAAGAGTAGTTAGCTAAAGTCTAAAGAAAGTGTTCCCCACCATCTCACCCTAAGCATTTCTTTTGTTCCTCATCTTCCTCTATTTAGGAGCCATCCTTCCTCCCTAGTCAGAGGTTGGGGGTGAATCAAGACAAAAAATATAGGGGCATGGGATGGAGGTGCTTACTGCAATCTACACTCGTGTGCAACCATTTCAGGGCCCTGGGCAGAAATGTTATATTTGACACCTTGTTTTAAGAAGGTGAATTTTAGAAGTATTCCCCCAATGTGTGTTTGCTGATATGATTTTTTGTCTCTCCCCAGAAAAAATTGCCTGTGTCATTCCTTCAGAATGTAAAAAATATTGTGGCACCCCAGTTGGCTGTACCAACATCGCCTACCCCACCTTGGTGGTGGAGCTCATGCCTAATGGTGAGTCTTTCTTGAGAGGCTGATTGGGTTTAGGCTCCCTCTAGACTCCTGGGTGCCTTCTGAGACTAAAAACTTTCTGAATCTAGTGGGTCAGTAGGGGAAGTTTCATTCTAAGTATTTTCAGGTTTTGCACATGTCTATAAGAATATGACTTGGTTAGGCTCTCTGAGTCCTGGGACTTGTCCACCAGGCTTGGAAAATAAAAATTTATTAGGGAAAACGGTGGCTCTTCCATGATCGTCTAGAAAATCTTTCAAAGATCTTCAACACAGACAATACAAATTAGTATAATCAATGTGGAAAACACTATGGAGGTTCCTGAAAAAAAGACAGAACTACGATATGATCTAATAATCTCATTACTGGGTATATATATCTCTGAAGGAAATGAAATCAGTATGTTGAAGAGGTAGCAGCACCCCCATGTTCATTGCAACATGGTTCACAACATGAAATCAATCCATGAACTCAACATTTGAATGGGTAAAGAAAAGTGGAATATATACACAAAGGAATATTGTTTCACCTTAAAAGAGAAGGAAATTCTGTCATTATGACAGCTTGGATGAGCTTGGAGGACATTATATTAAGTGAATTAAGCCAGACTCAGGAAGATGAATACTGCATGATAAACACAGAATGTAAAAAGTCAAGATTAAAGCAATAGAGAGAATGGTGATTACCTGGGAGTGAGACAAAGGGTGGCGTGATTTGGAGAAATATTGGTAAAAGAATACAAAATTTCAGATAGGAGGAATAAGTTCAAGAGATGTATTGTACAATGTGGTGACTATGGTCATTAACAATACAGTGTATGTGCTTGAAAATTGCTGAGAGCAGATTACCACAAAAAAATAAGTATGTGAGGTCATTGATATGTTAATTAGCTAGATTTAGCCATTCCACAATCTATACAAATTTCAAAATGTCATGGTGTACATGATAAATATAAACAATTTTTCTATCCATTAAAAATGAATAAAACATTCCAACAAATTAATATGAAGGCTTGAACTAAGCCTCATAGTTACCTGGAGAATAAATTAACTTTTAGATAATTTCACAGACATATGTGGAGGAAAAAGTCCAGATTTTAGTTCTAGAAGGAAGGAGTTTGAAGTTGTAGATAAGTTGTAGATGAATAGAATTCAGTGTGGCTTCTTACCATACAAGGTATGTTATCCCAAATTGCTGGAATTATAGGTGAACCCCACCCTTCTAGGCTTGGTGGCTCATGCCTGTCTATAATCCGAGCAAGTCTGGAGGGGAGGCTGAGGCAGGAGGGTCACAAGTTTAAGGCCAGCTTTAGAAATTTGGTAAGGCCCTATGAAAATTAATGAGACCCTATCTCAATATGAAAAAAATTAAAAAGAGCTAGGGATGTGGATAAGTAGTCAGGTATCCCCAAGAGTTTAATCCTCAGTACAAAGAAAGAAAGAAAGAAAGAAAGAAAGAAGGAAGGAAGGAAGGAAGGAAGGAAGGAAGGAAGGGAGGGAAGGAAAGGAAGGAAAGGAAAGGGAAAGGAAAGGGAAAGGAAAGAAAGGAAAGAAAGGAAAGAAAAAGGAAAGAAAGGAAAGAAGAAAGGAAGAAAGAAAGAAAAGAATATGTTATCCTAGAAGATTGAATCCTGAGTTTAGAATAACTAGAGTTTTGGGATTGACCTGTGAATTTGTAATTCATGTTTCACGTTGGAGAAAAATAAATCTCTTAATTATGGTTCAAGGGCTGAAAAGCTGGTTAGATTAGGAGTGTTAGCACAAAATGACTGGGCTGGCCGCAAGCTTCATGCATCAGCACAGCCTTTATTCAGTAATGAAATCATGCATCTGTGGACCAACTTTCCTGATGGAAAATAAGCCAATGGCTAAGGGGAAGTCTATGTTTATATATGCTACACTGAGTGATGACTTAATTATTGACAGAGCATGTCAGTTTGGGCCCTCAGGAAACAGTTTTTCAGAATTTGAAATTTGTTATTACTAGGCAATATTATTATTTTTTTAATTTATATATGTCAGTGGTTACAATTCTTATTACACATATAGAGTACAATTTTTCATATATCTAGTTATATACATAGTATATTCACACCAATTCGTGTCTTCATGCCTGTTCTTTGGATACTCATGTCCATAATATTCCACCATCATTAGTAGCCCCATGCCCACTCCCTTCCCATCCAACCCCTCTGCCCTATCTAGGAATAGAGTTCCTCTATTCTTCCCATGCTTACATTCCCTATTCCACTATGAATCAGCCTCCTTATATCAATGAAAACATTCGGCATTTGTTTTTTGGGATTGGCTAACTTAGCATTATCTTATCTAACTCTATTTATTTACCTGCAAATGCCATGATTTTATTCTCTTTTATTGCTGAGTAATATTCCATTGTGTTTACATGCCACTTTTTTTTTATCCATTCATCTATTGAAGGGCATCTAGGTTGGTTCTTTACCTCTCACACATCAGAGCACTAATCTCTAGGGTATATAAAGAACTAAAAATCTAAACACCAAAAAAAACCCAAATAACCCAATCAACAATGGGCCAAGGACCTAAACAATCACTACTCAGAAGAAGATGCACAATCAATCAACAAGTATATGACAAAATGTTCATCATCACTAGCAATTAGAGTAATGCAAATCAAAACCCCTCTAAGATTTCATCTCATTCCAGTCAGAATGGCAGCCATTATGAAGACAAACAACAATAAGTGGTGGTGAGGATGGGGGGTGGGCGTGTACAATCATACGCTGATGGTGGGACTGCAAATTGGCACAACCAATATAGAAAGCAATATGGAGATTTCTTGGAAAATTGGGAATGGAACCATTGGGCAATATTTTTACTTAGGAGAGAATATTAGGGTCTAGGCAGTGTTCAGTGCTTATCTCTTTCCCTTCAGGGTCCCATTGTACTCTCACTGGGAAAGGATTTATTTGGGGAAGGATCTATGCTTTGGCTTCTGCTCAGAGTCTGTCATTCTAGGCCTGATGGAGATCTCCTTCCCAGGGATTGTCTTGTCACTGGATGATGTTTGCTTACTTTTCAGGGAGTGTCCTATCTCTAGGAAAAGGTGTATTGGGAAAGGATCAATGTTACCAATGTGTTGCCTTCTTCTTCACTCCCTCTTTCCAGACCACACTATTTTGGAGTTTGTCATTTTCCATCTTACAAGGAGGTTCTTAGGAAATACAAAAATTCATAAATATTAATATATTAATGTATAATAAACTTTAAATTTTTATTATTGAAAAGAAACTTAGAGGCCATTTGATTAGCCTCTTCTTTTTACAGTTGGGAAAACGGAGGCCTCCAGTAAGAAAGTGACGTTTTCAAGGCACACAACAACTCTGTCTGCCATCTGGCTTCCTTAACTCTGCTCAAGGCAGGAATTGAAGAATTTTGAGAGGGTCCTTTTTCTTTTAAACCACAGACTTCATGCATGACCTTGGGCAAACCATTTGCATTCAAGTGACATAAATATGGGAGTAATAGTTAATTACCTCCAGGCAGCCAGGATGCTTATTAAGGTTGTGATGAGCAAGAGTCAAAATGGCTCCAGAGTTTTGGCTCTGATAACACTGGTCTCTGTGGGGGCATTTGTCCTATTTCTTTAGATTGGCACAGCTACCCGTATCCACTCTTCCTGTTTCTCATTTTCCATATTCTTGGGTAGTTTCTTTATGTCTCATTTGCTGATTCATCCTCCTTTTCTCAGCTAGTAAATTATTTCCCCACCAATCCATATCAAATGCTATCATCATGTCTCCTAAATATCTCTTATCTTTGATGAATCACAACACAAAGAAAAGACCACCGACTGCAATTTTAAGCCAAATTAAAGCAAGCTTGTATTGTGTACATAAGAGAGAACTGGCCAACGGCTGCCTCACCCAAAATGCAGGGCCTGAGGAAAACTTCCTAGCTCTCCAGGAAAAAGGTTTTATAGCACAAGAAATTACAAAGTGTGGGGGGGTGTCTTGGGAACTTACAGCTAACAAGGTTCTGGGAAGCATAATACAAAGGCAGATAGCAGGTTAAGGATTTACATGGCTTGACATTTCAAGGTAGGGAGTAAATTGAGATTCCAACATATGAATTTATGAGAGGCTGCTAAGGTTTTAGGGAACATTGTTATCTGGTCAAGGAGAACTAGGGTTGGGTGAGTTTAGGGCTTGGGTAGGAATTCCAAATAAGATTAGCCCTCAGAGTATGGTCAGGCTAAATAGAAATCTTAGTAAAACAGAAATGAACTTTTCATTACTTTGTGATGAGATGGCTCCCATTCTTAGGATAGAATAGGTTGGGCTCATCAATCATCCTATTTCTCTAAAATTTTGGTCTGACCTTACATTACTTCTTGTTTGTGCTGCTATAAAATTATGATCAACAAATATTTGTTGAGTGAATAAATGAATGAGAGTTTTAAATTAATGTGGAACAGAGGACAGAGTTCTGTCCCAGTTAAGCAATTAACTGATGAAGTAACCCTGAGCAAATCACTGAAAGCCCTACCTAATAACTTCTTAAAATAGAGTTATCAATTGAAAAAATGAGAAAATCAGAGTAAGTGGTCTTTATAACTCCTATAGCTCCAGTAGGTGTATTGTCTGTATTATATAAACTCAGGAGGAAACATTTTTAAAAATCTTCTAAAAAATAAAGAGATTGGAATGGGCAGACTTTATGTCTATATTGAAAGGCTATTTATATGAGACCATAAAATTGTTTATAGATACCAAACCCAGAGGTATAAGAGAATAATGTTACTAAAAGACCTCAAGAAAAATTGTTGTTACCAAAGGCTCAGTCCTTGTCCATGATGACAATCCAATAAAGAAGACAAGGTTTTGAGAAAAAGGAAAAAAAAAAGTTTTATTACTTTGCTAGCAAAAGAGAAACACAGAACTACTGTCCCAGTGTTGTAGGGACAGATGTGATAGGACATTGGAAGATAGCAGGAAACAGATTTATTCTTTACTTTTATTGGTTGTAACCAGGCTCAGAGGGAAAAGTTTTCAGTGTAATCTTTCAGTCCTTCTGAACCATGAGTTCAGGAAGTTTTAGAACTTTATACCCAGTGTATAGGGGGAGAAATTCAGAGGTTTCCAATTTACAGAAGTTCCCATGACAACAGGTTTATCATTTACTGTTCTGGGCAAATTAACCCCTCAAAGACATTTATTGTAAGAATCAGTGTCTGAGAAAGGGAGAGCTTCTTCTCCCCTCCCCTGACAGCTGTTTCCATGGAACCAAATTAGTAACATCTTCTTATATCTTTGAAATGCAAATATCCCTGTGAAGCAGGCCCAAGGCCAGAGACTTTGTTAAAAAAAGTCTTCTTATCACACTCTATATTTGTAAATACACCTCCCGCTTGAAAACCTTTACAAACTATTATATATCATTTAAACTAGAGAATCTGCAACACTAGATAGCCCATAAATGTTGTGATAAACTAATAAAGGGGTATTCAGCACCTGGTTCTCTTTCAGGCCATGGCCAATTTTAGTTATTGTAAGAGAGCAACAGGAAATTTAATTACACTGAACTCTTTTGCAGAGATTCTTTTGCTGATATTTTAAGATCACTTATGGTGAGGACATCTGGAGAAGCTTAATTAAGATTTTCTGTGGAGGAGGGGGTGACACTCCACCAGAGTCTATGATTCCGTCCATCAGGAAGAACAGAGAGCTCTGAAAGGGGTGATTCAAAGGCTATATTCCAGGTGTGCCCTGATGGGAATCAGAATTCATTTGCTCATTTGTAAGATTTCTTAGATCTGCTACCATCTCTGAAGTGTGAATTACTTCATTCCTGTGGAGAGTGTGTACTCACAGACAGACAACTAGGCTTAGTATGGGGAAGAAGGGTAATCTTGCTTCCCCCAAGATTAGAAAAGTGGAGAGATTAGGCAGGAGGAGAAGAGAAAAAGCATGTCCATTTAAAAATAAATCTCAATGCAGAGCAGTACTGGCTATATTTAAAGCATGAATTAGACAACTGTTACATTGTGTTTATTAGCTTTGTGTCTGTGGCCTAACACCTGAGGAAAAAATCAACCTAAGGGAGGAAAGATTTGCTTTGGCTTATGGTTTCAGAGATTCCAGTCACTAGAGGTTTTATTTCATTTGATTCTAGGCCTTGGTGAGCAGAACTTAATGGTAGGGAAGCTGTGGCAGAGGAAAGTTACCTCATACAGCCAGAAGGAGAGAGAAGTATGAATTACTTCATTCCTGTGGTGAGTGTGTACTCACAGACAGACAAGGAGACAGATAACAGAGAACTTAAGTACATTAGGGCATTGCCTCAAGGACCCACTCTCTTTAATGAAGACTCCCTCTCTTTAATGAGGACCCAGTTCCTATAGTTTCTACCATTTCCCAATAGTGCTATCAAATTATGCATCCATCAATGGATGAATCCACTAATGAAGTTTGAGCCTTAATAATCCAATCACTTCCCAAAAGCCCCACATCTGAACAAAGCTGCATTAGAGACCGAGCCTTCAACATATGAGCCTTTTGGGAACATTTCAGATCCAAATCATAACAGGCATGAATGTTGACTCAATAAATCTATTGAAGTTAATGGAAATAGGAGTCAAGTTTATATAGTTGGGTTCCTAAATTAAGTAGGAACATTGAAAGAAACTGAAGATATTTAGCTTAGAGAATACGAAACTCAAGGAGACATGAGTTATCTTTTTTATAATTTGTTTTAATTAATTATACATGACAATAGAATGCATTTATACACTTTGATATACATAGATGGAATATAATTTCTTATTTTTGAGTATATATATATTGCAGAGTCATATTGGTCATGCAGTCACATATAGACATATAGTAATAATGTCTGTTTTGTTCTACTATCTTTCCTATTCTCACATCCTCTCCCCTCCCCTCCCATCACAAGCTATCTTTAAATATATGAAAGAGGTAAAGAAGGGAAAGGTAAGACCTCTCCAACTGAGTTGCATAAGGACTGAAGCTGTAAAGAGGCATATTTCAGCCTGGTCAGAACTGTCCAAGAGGGAATAGGCTTCCTGTGGTGTAGCAGATTTCCTATTACCGAGGGTTTGGGCATGGCAAGAGTTGTGGAAGGGACCCATTGTAGCAAGTAGATATTAAGCCTAGGTGATCCCTAAAGTCACTTTGCTACCGAGACTGTAAATCTGTGCAGTGATAGTGGGCCTTCAGCTTGCCCTGGCCTTCTGGCCTCAGCAGATGCAATAGGTATAGAAAGAATGACAGAGATTATAGCCAACCATGCTTGCTGTGAGTGGGAAAACTTTTAAAACAATATCTCTTATTCTGACATGAGTGGATGTCATATTATCCCTATTTAACACCTCAAGAAATAAGGCCTACAATTTTGCATAACTTGCTTAGGTCAGAGTTGGAAATAGAGCTTTGTCTTCTTTCAATAAAAACTTCATTGAGCTATAACTGACATTCCATTCAATTTGCTCATTCAAGGTGTCCAACTCAATGATTTTTAGTTGTTCATAGAGTAGTGCCTATCACCTTAATCCATTTTAGAAAATTTTCACCACCTAATAAAGAAATTCTTCACCTGTTAAAGAAGTTAGCAGCCCTTCCTTGTTTCAACCCAAACTCCCAGTCCTAAATAACCAAAGATACACTTTCTGTCTCTATATATTTGCCTGTTCCAGATCTTTCATTTAAAAGGAATCATATAAAAATATGTGGTCCTTTGTGACTGTCTACTTTAACAGAGCATCTGTGTTGTGGCATGTATTTGCATTTTATTTCTTTTTATTAATGGATAATATTCCATTGCATGATAATCCATTTATCAGTTTTTTATTTTGTTTAACCATTAATCACTTGATGGACATGTGAGTTGTTTCTATTTTTCAGATGTTATAAATAATGATGCCATGAACATTTACACTTATATATTTGTTTGGATGTATATTTTTATTTCCCTTGGGTAGACACTTAGGAGTGAAACTGATGAATCATATTGTAACTCTATGTTTAACTGATTGCCGAACTTCCAATTTTGCCATTTTACATTTCTACTAGCAATAGAAAGTCCACATTTCTCATTATATTTTTCAAATACCATCCTAATTGGTGTGAAATAATAATTATTGTGGCTTTGATTTGAATTTTCTTGAGGTCAAACGTCTTTTCATGTCATTATTGACCATTTGTATATCTTTGGAGAAATGGCTATTCAGATCATCTGCCATTTTAATTGGGTTATTTGTATTTTTATTATTGAGCTATGATAGTTATTTATATGGTCTATATAGTAAGTCCTTACCAGATATATGAACTGTAAATATTTATTCCTATTCCATAGCTGTCTTTTTATTTTCTTGATAACCTTATCTTTTGAATCCTCATTTAAATATCTTTGAGCTATATCATGAATCTTTTGAGTGAAAGATCATATAAAAAAATCCCTCAACTGGAAACACCACCACCACCACCACCATCACCATCATTATAATTCGATTGTGAAATATTTACCTCATACATGTTTTTTTTTTATCTAGAGCTTTGTTGGTTGTCATGGAATTATAATTTAAAGCCATGGCCTATTCCTTAAAACATTTTTTTTTGTTTTGTTTTGCTTTTGGTAGCAGGTATTTAATCCAGGGCTGTTTAACCAATAAGCCACATTCAACCCCTTTTAAAAAAATATTTTATTTAGAGACAGGATCTCACTAAGTTGCTTAGGGCCTTGCTAAATTGCTGAGGCTGGCTTTGAACTTGTGATCCTCTTGCCTCAGCCTCCCCATCCAGTGATATTACAGGTGTGCACCACTATGCCCAAATTAAAACATTTATTTTTTCTGGAAACATAAACTAGAGAAGATGGCACAGTTTCAGAAGCAAACAAAAGTTGAGTCCTGCTGAAGTACTAGATGTGCCACTCAGACCTTCCTTGTCTTCCAGGATTGCGAGGCCTGATGCTGTCAGTCATGATGGCTTCTCTCATGAGCTCCCTAACTTCCATCTTCAACAGTGCCAGCACCCTCTTCACCATGGACATCTACACGAAGATCCGGAAGCAAGCATCTGAGAAAGAGCTCATGATTGCAGGAAGGTAAATACAGTCATCTATCATGAATGATCAGAAAATGATCAGCTAGACAAGATTGGACAGTGCTGGTAGAGTGATATTGGTGGTTTGTAATATTTACCCTTCAGTAATATTTAACTTTAAACTGGAGAATTGGAAGTCATCAATGCGCTACATTTTTGACTGTCATAAATGAATTTATCAACAGGACTCTGAAAATATCAAAACATTGTCAAATGGATCAGGTGTGCTCATTATCATAATTAGCCATTAAACAGGTGCTCTGGACACAGGATTCATAGATATGCTTATGTGTCTCTTCTCTCTTTCTCCCCACCTCCCTCTCTCCCTGCTCTCCCTGGTACTGGGAATGTGTCCAAGGGATACTCTTCCAGTGACTTGCAATCTCAACCCTTTAATTTTTTTAAATTTTGAGACAGTGTCTTGCTCTATTGTCCAGGCTGGCCTCAAATGTGATTCTCTAAATCAACCTCTTTAGTCACTGGGATTACAGTGTGTGCCTGACTGTTGATATGTCTCTTCAGGGGGCTAAAGCACTCTCCTTAGGTCAGGTGGAACAAACCCTGGGATGTTAGTTAAAGAAAAGATTCCCAATGAGTTCAGGAGGGATATGGGCTACCACTTCACAGGTCTCTGGGCTAAAGAAAGGCAGCCAAGGGAGATCTGACCAGATCAGAATCTACTACTTTGTATCATAGAAAATAGTACTACTACCTTGACTGGCTTTCCCTTAAAAAGGCACTTACTAACTTTCCTTGGTATTTGTAAGGCTCAAATGCAAAATGGAAAAGAAGATAACTTTGTTTCTTTGTACAGATCTGGATCCCCTAGTCCTAAGAGTATGTTGGGTCTCACACTTCCTTACATCCCATAACTACTATCTTGTGGCTTATCTCAGTCTCCTGTACAAGCTCACAGTGATGTGAAACAGTTTGAAACTCTACTATGTGGACTGTAAGAGCAATCAGGGACTCAGATAAGGGAGAAGTGAGCATAGTATGGCATACTTGGGAAAGGGCCCTGGAGGAGGAAGAACCTTAACTGGGTTCAAAGTGGTAGGTAGAATTTGGGTAAATAGGGGGCAATGGGAGGAAATTTCAGAGTGAGAAATATTTAAAAACACAACTTTAAGAAGGTCAGTTTAAGACTCTTTTGCCTTAAATACATGTGAAGTAAGTGAATCAAAGCCTTTTTAAATTGCTTTCATTAGTGTATTACAGTTTTAGATAATAGTGGTATATATTCTTGGAGGCATATAACATAATTTGCTGCATTTCAATCCCCAGTTCTTCCCCTTTCCCTCCTCTTCTCCTTCTTCCTGATTCCCTTCTTCTACTCTAGTGCTCTTCCTTGCATTCATTTATTGTTGTTGTTTAAATGTTTTTTTATTGCAATGGATTTTTAATTTTATTTCCTTATTTATATATATGTGATGCCGAGGATCAAACCCAGGGCCCCATACATGACAGGCAAATGCTCTACCACTGAGTTACAACTCTAGCCCACGTTGGGTTTTATTTTTAAAGAGGAGCATTACAATTATATAAAAAATGAACTTCATTGTGATATATTCATAATTTGGTTAATTTCATTCTGCTGTTCCTCCCCTTTTCCATCCCTCCTCCCTCTCAATCCTCTTCCTCTATTCTGCTGTTCTTTCTTCTATGTTCACAAGGATCCCCTTAATTTATAGTTAAATCAAGAGCCAAGTAATAAGAGCTTATGTGAGACTCACCAATCTTTTTAGGACATGGTAAAGCTCAAGAGAGAGAGAGCTGGAAATACCTAATTGTGTCCCTTCCTATCCAGACTGTTCCTTTATAAACTTTCATTGGCTTGTTTTAAATTTTATTATGAGGAAGGAGAAGAAAATAATAACAATATATTTTTAAATAAAACAATAGTGGTTTTTTTACTATTTATTGAATGCCTACTGTTTGTGAGGCATTTTACTCTCACTAATGCTTATTCCAATTTTTTTTGTGGTCAGTCACATATTTCTCTGTTTAGAGTTGGAGAATTTGAGACTCAGGGAGAGGCTAAACACAAAGATAGAAAAAAATTTAATTCAGAACTACCTTGCTCCAAAGTATATAGCCTTGTCCCTGTACACTTCTGCCTCCCAAAGTGGGATTTTTATATGGGAATGATTTGGCCCAAATGACTATCAAAAACCAAGTGTGTTTCACTTACCCATAGCCACAGATGAATAGGGAGAAAAAAAGACTCAAGAATGAATTTGCTTATTACTTTTCCTTTCTGTGGTCATATTATGTATACATATGTATATATATGTATGTATATATATGTTTGAAAGTGACGTGTGTATATATGTGTGGGACACATAGTAATATATATTTATTTATGTAGGATTATTTATTAACATTCTGTCATGGGGAATTTGATTTCAGGTTGTTCATTCTCTTTCTGATTGCCATCAGCATTGCCTGGGTGCCCATTGTGCAGTCAGCACAAAGTGGGCAGCTCTTTGATTATATCCAGTCCATTACCAGTTACTTGGGACCACCCATTGCAGCTGTCTTCCTGCTTGCTGTTTTCTGGAAGAGAATCACTGAACCTGTAGGTATTGCTTTGACATGTTCAGAAAAGTCAGTCTGACACAGAATTTTCTATGGGTACATTCTCTGCGGAAGAGATTCTGTTTCCCAGAGATCTTAAGAAGAAATGGATGTACCTCTAAAGGTTTATATGAGAAAGTCTTTATGGACCATGGAGACTCTCTAAGAGTTGGAATAAACTCCTCAGGAGTTAATACTGGGTCTACTTTCTCTATAAGTACCCTGTTCTTCTTGGTACAGGGTCCCAACTCATATTGTACATTTTCTATCCAACCTTGGTGATTCTGACCTGACCTCATGGAGCCTCCTATGAAGTTTGTAGTCTCTGGGTGAGCAGCTCCACAGGAAATCCTAGCATAAGTTACTTCCAGTGGCTATGGTTTGAACTGGGTTTTTCAGCCAGCACTATTCAGGACCCAGTGAAGGAAAAGGTCCTGTTGCTCAAACATTTTATCTGAAAAACAATGTAAGATAGATAGGAATTGAGGCATTTTTAAAAATTTGATTCAAAATGTAAGTAGGAAGAGATTTAGGAAAGGCTGTATCAATCAACATGTGCTGAAATCATTTGAGAAGATACCTTGGAAAAGTGGATCTGGAGGGATTTAAAATTGTAAAAGAAAGAGAAAGAATTTAAGCAGAGAGAAGAGATTTGCCCAATGTGGAAAAGAAAGGATAAGGGGAAGACAAGGGTCTTGCAAGGAATCTTACCTGGCTGGAGAGAGAGTTTGTGAATAATGGAATATGCAGCTGGAAAAGCAGGTCAAAGTTAGAATAGGAATGATCACTTTGAAAGCCAGGTTAAAGAATTTAAGCCAACAGTGGGGTGCCATTGCTGTTTTTAAAAAACAATGAGAAAGATGCTTTTGGATATGTTGTATGACTGGGGTGTTGCTCAGCTGTCTCTGAGCAGCAGTGCTGACCATGTGGCTTACTATCTGAAAGAGTAAAATAAAATTGATAACATAGTTTTACTTGAAAACACTTTTTCACTCTCTAAAGGACAGAAACAGATATATACTGCATCAGGGAAGTACTTCAGTGGAAAAACCCAGTTTTGAGGTACACAAAATACAACAGGTATATCTGTTCTTTCCATATTTGTGCTATGAGAAAGATAATCCAGTTATTCAAAACTAGGCACACAGATACCTTGGAGAAATCAGAATTAAACAAGAAAGTAATCTCAATAGAGACATAGATAAATATCTTTGGACAAATTTCAGTAGTTATTAGCAGAAAGCTGGTTCCCTGGAATATTTCTAAAATACAAATTGTCAACTGAGAGCCCAGGTGGGTACTATATTAGGCCACAAGAATATCTAATTTGGTAATAGACCAGTGCTTTTAAAAATAAAGCTAAGAATTGAGATAGACCATATTTATTCTCCATTGGAGGTGTTTTTTCACCCTCTTCAAGGGGGACTTTGTCAATGTCTGGAAACATTTTTGATAGTTTTGCTTCTGAGAACCCTGCATATATCTAGTGGTTAGTTGTCAGGGATATCCTAAAATGCACAAGAAAATATGAAAGGCTATCAGTTTTTTTAAGAGCCACTTGAGAGTAATGATAAAGGAATAGAAGTTAATTGCCAAAAAGAAAAAGATTCTTGGTAAGTTTTATCAGAATTATTCATACTAACTAAAATTTAAAAAAATGTTTTTTAAGGAATACATTATGGGGGATGAATGAGAAACCTTTTTTCTTACTCATTTATTAATTTAATAGACAATTTCAGATACCAGGCATGGTGCCAGGCACTAGCTACATTAAGTGAGTGAAACTTGGTTCCTTTCCTGGGAAAACTCCCAATTCAAGTGAGGAGGCAGAGAACTGAATGAGTGATTGCATGGCAGGAGAGTTGGGCTGGCATGGAGATGTGTTCACAGTGTTGTGGCCACACAAGGAGAATGAACCCACCCAGTTCTCTCTATTTTATTGTATTTAAGACAGGAGAAATTTACCAGGAAGAGAATTATCCCAAGTCTTCTAGATAGAAAGAATGACCTGAACAAAGGTCCTAGGACATAAACATACATGGCATACTTAAAGAATAGCTGTTAATGTAACACACTTGGATTATAGTGTAGGAGTAACTGTGGCTAGCTAAGGGACTGTCAATACTTGATAAAATCATGAAGATTCATTTTGGCCACCATTCTACTTGCACATTCTCATTTGCCACTTGATCACTTAATATGTAGCTTTCAAAAATAGATATGGACCTTAAGTGAGTGCAGACCAAAAGGCAAAAAAAAAAGCAAGCAAAGGAAGAAGCAAAGAAAGAAAGGTGAAGGAAAGTAAAGAAAAAAGGAGGAAGAAAGCAAAGAAAAGATACGGAAGAAAGGAAAGGAAGAAGAAAGAAGAGTCTAAAAAATTCTCTGAAAAAATAGTCCCCTCTTTTAGTCTTTGGAAAATTTCTGTGTATCTCATATACAAACCCCAAATTTGATATAAAAATGCATTATATAATGTTATGTTATTAAACTAAAAAGAGATATTTTTTATTTGTAACAGGGACTAATGAAGGAAGAATTATTATTTATATATGGAAAATTTACTTTCTCTACCCCACAAATACCTAATTTTTTTTCAGTGTCTTCAAAGAAGACAAAATATTTTACAAGTAGTTACTTTATATCTGAATAGGTGTAAATCTGGAGGCAGGTGGTGACAATAGATGAGGTGGAGAGTTCAAATATTTTTTAAGTTAAAAGGAATTTTTGGAATTTAGGGGAGATTAAAATTCCATATGATTTATTAATCACTTTACCCCATTATATTATGAGTCCTTGTTTAATGATGCAGGTGAAATCATGCTGCTGAAACAAGATAGAGAGACCCCCTGGAAGCCTGACTTAACAATCCTGCACCATGATGTCCTGGCTTCAGATGGTCTAGAGCTACCATTTCTCTCAGCTTTATTCCTTTGCCTCTGCCCATCTCTTGGAATGTTAGAATTCCCACCTGTTTTGTGGGTTCAGCACTCATTAATTCAGGGTTTTCTTTCACAGGGAGCCTTTTGGGGACTCATCCTAGGATTTCTGATTGGAATTTCCCGTATGATTACTGAGTTTGCCTATGGAACTGGGAGCTGCATGGAGCCCAGCAACTGTCCCACCATTATCTGTGGGGTCCACTACTTGTATTTTGCCATTATCCTCTTTGTCATTTCTGTCATCACCATTGTGGTCATCTCCCTGTTCACCAAGCCCATTCCAGATGTGCATGTGAGTATCCATTCAGAAGACCTCGTCTGTCCTTGTTTCACATTCATGTTGCAGCACTCTTGGTCGACCTCAGCTCAACTAGATATCTCCCACCTGCATGAATAAAATGGTTTGTACTTGCCATTAGTTTTGTGTAGAAGGACACAGGTTAGGAAACATGGTATGCCAGCTAGGAAGTTTCAAGAGTGCATTTTTAATGGGAATCTTTTTAAGGTCCATACTTCAGTCCAGAGGGGTTGACTCTGGATCCTACTCCCTGAGTGATAGTACATGTGCAAGGGAAATGAGATCACATGAGCAAGCACGGGGCTACCATGGCTCAGAAACCCATGTTCAAAATAGGAACTGGTGTTTCCTGTAACTTTCCCATAGTTGAAGCTTCTGAGGCCTGGTTACAAAAATTTCTAAACTCAGGGAAATCTGTATTATGTTTTACCTTTTGATATTTTCCACTTAAGCTGCCAAAGAGTTGTTTATAAAATTCAAGATATTTCTAACAATATATCTTAGTCTGTTTACTGCTGCTATAACAGAATGCCACAGATTGGATAGGTTATAAATAATAAAATTTGTTTCATTTTCTATCCTTGAGTCTGGTAAGTCTAAGATTGAGGGGTGCACCTGGTAAGGACCCTCTTGCCACATCATAACCTCATGGAAGTCATTATGTAGCAAGAAAGAATAAGAGAGGGTTATAAATTAATAGAGGCCAAACTTCATCTTTTTATCAGAAAAGTGCTCCCACAATAGTAGATTTAATCCACTCATCAGGACAGACTCCTCATGATCTAATTATCCTTTTTTTTTTAAAAAAGTTCTTATTAGTGTATTATGGTTATAAATAATAGTGGGGTTCATATGTTCAATAGTGACATATTCATACATATATGGAATATAATTTGGTGCATTTCAATCCTCAGTAGTTGCATATTTTCTTCTGTCCTTCCTGTCCCAGTTTTCTTCTTCTACTCTACTGAACTTACTTCTGTTTATTCATTGTTTTTAATTGGTACTTTGTAGGTATACATGGAGGGGAATTCAATGTGGTATACTCATATATGTACATAGCATAACTTGGTCAATTCAATTCTGCAGTTCCTCCCTTTCCCCATCTATCCTCTATCACCCTTAATCCCTTTTCTGTAATTTACTGACTTTTCTTCTGTTTTTGTGGGATTCTCCAACCCTGTTTCCCCCTTGTTTCTAATTTCTGCTTGTATAAGAAAACAGTTGACCTTTGATTTTGTGAATCTAACTTATTTCACTTAGCCTGATGTTCTTTAATTACATCCATTTACCAGCAAATGGCATTATTCCATTCTCCTTTATAGCTGAGTAAAAGTCCGTTGTGTATACATGACTCATTTTCTTTATTGATTCATCTGTTAATGGGCACCTGGGATTGTTCCATAACTTGACTATTGTGAATTGCACTGCTATAAACAGTGATGTGCCTGTATCACTGTAGGATGCTGACACCTGTTAATACTGTCACAATGGCAGTTAAATTTCAACATAAGTTTTGGAGCTGATATTCAAATCATAGCATAATATCAAGGTCCAGTTGATTTAAGACTTCATAAATGAAAAGCATTCTTCTTTAAATCTAGATGCTTCCATTGATTTAGGGTTCACTTGTATCCCTCCAAATCTAGAAAAATTAGTAATTATGGGACTATAAGCAATATAAATCTACAAAACCAATCCAAATGGTATTCCACCTTTCTCAGGTTTCCAAGGGAACAAAGGTAGAAAGCTAACCCAAGATCATATATACCCATAGAAAAGAGAAAAGTTTTTATTAATACTTTATTCATGCATACATGAATACAAGGATCTATAGAATTATTAACAGACCTTCAGCCTCATTGCCAAATTTTCAAAAGCTGTGACAAAACTATATGTCAAATAAAAACTGATTTTGTAACTGTAGAATCACCATGATGTTAATTGACTGTCACAGATTTTCTTTGATAAAACTATCACCTGCTTCCCCATGCTTAGTCTTGCAGCCCCAAACACATTTAGCTCTGTTTCATTTTAAAGTAGAAAAACCAAGGTACTAATGGGCATGAGAAAACATGCCACACTTATTCTTTATGTGGCTGATTTCACTTAACATTCTCCAATTCCACCAATTTTCCTGAAAATGACATGGTTTCATTATTCTTTATGACTGAATGATATCCATAGTGTATATATACCATTTTTAAAATTCATTCATATGTTGATGAGCACCTGGACTGATTCAGTATCTTTACAATTATGAATGGTGCTGTAAAAAAACATGGGTGTACAGGTACCTCTTTGGTACACTGACTTATTTCCTCTGGATATATACCCAGGATTGATATAGCTGGATTGTTTGGTAATTCTATTTTTAATTTTTTAAGGAAACTCCATACTGATTGCTATAGTGACAGAGCTAATTTACACTCCCACCAAAATTGTAAAAGGGTTCTTTTTTTCTCCATATCCTTGCCTGCATTTGTTATTTATTTATTAATTTTTATAATAGCCATTCTGACTATACTTCCAGATGGAATCTTACTATAGTTTTGATTTGCACTTGCCTGATGAATAAAGATATATATCATTTAAAAATATATTTATTGGCCATCCATACTCTTCTCTTGAGAAGTATCTATTCACACCAATTGCTCATTTCTTGATTAGATTGCTTGTTCTTTTGTTAATTTTTAAAAATTATATATTCTGGATATTAATTCTTTGTCAAATGAATAGCTAGCAAAGATTTTGTTTCCTGCTATAGTGTACATTATCTCTTCACTCTGATAATTGTTTCTCTTGTTGTGCAGAAACTTTTTAATATGATGTGATCCTATTTGTCCATTATTTCTTTTGTTTCCTGGGCTATTGGAATCCTATTCAGGAAATTGTTGCCTGTAGCAATATCTATGCTTTCTTCTCGTCATTTAAAAGCTTCAGGTCTTACATTAATATATTTGATTCATTTTGAGTTTATTTATTTATTTATTTGAGTTGATTTTTATACAAGTTGAGACTTGATTTTTGTACAGGGGGCCTAGTTTCAATTTTTTCCCTATGGGTATTCAGTTTTCCCAACATAATTTGTTAAAAAGGCTGTCTTTTCTCCAACATATGTGTTTGGAACTTTTGTTGAGGATCAGTTAGCTATAGATGCATGAATTTATTTCTGAGTCCTCTATTCTATTTAAATACAATTCTATTTTTATTATTATTGCTCTTAGTATATTTTGAAACCAGGAATTATCATCCCCACAGTGTTGCTCTTTTTGTCCAGGATTGCTTTGGCTGTTATGGGTCTTTTGTGCTTTTATATGAATTTTAGTATTGTTTTTTCTAGTTCTGTGAAGAATGTCATTGGTATTTTGATGAGGACTATATTGAATCTGTAGATCACTTTTGGTAGTGTATTCATTTAAACAATATTTATTCTCCCACTGGTGTTCTTTCCACCTTCTAGTGTCTTCTTCAATTTCTTTCTTCAGTGCTTTAAAATTTTTATTGTAGAATTTTTTCATCTTTTTGGTCAAGATTATTCCTGAATATTTTATTAATTTGTGTTTTTTTTCACTTATTGTGGATAGTTTTTTTTCTAATTTCTTTTTCAGGAAGTTCATTTTTGGTGTATTAAAAAGTTATCGATTTTATATATATTTGGTTTTATATTCTGCTATTTTGTTGAATTTGTTTATCAGTTCTAAAAGGTTTTTTTTTGTGGGGGTATGTGTATAGTCTTTAGGGCTTTCTAAGTATAAAATTGTACTATCTGCAACCAGGGGAAATTTGACTTCCTCATTTTTTCTGTGAATCTCTTTTGTTTTTCTTGCCTGATTGCTCCGGATGAAATTTTATATATTGAATAAGAGTAATGAGAGTGGACATTCTCATATTTTCCTGATTTTTAGAGGAAATGCTTTTATTCTTCCCATTCAGAATGATGTTGGCTATGGGCTTGTGATATAGAGCCTTTACTGTGTTGACATATAATACTTCTATCCCTAATGTAATCAGGTTTTTTTCTTCACTTTCCAACATGCCTTCTCAACAGACAGGACTAGAATAAGAATTTTATGGTCCTTGTTAATTAAAGCATTATGTAATTTAGACTAAAAACAATACTATATTCTAAACAAGTATAAGGAAGTTCAACAAAATTCTGATTTTCCTATCATATCTAATTATAATCAGAATTTTTATCATGAAGAGATACACAATTTATCAAAGGCTCTTTCTGAATCTATTGAGATGATCGTGTGATGTTTGTCTTTGGTTTTATTTGTGTACTGTATTTCATTTATTGATTTGTGTGTGTTGAACCATTCTTACATCACTGAAATGAAACTAACTTGTTCATGGTGTATTATCTTTTTAATGTGCTGTTGAATTCAAGTCGCAACAATTTGATTGAGAATTTTTGGACTATGACATTAGGGATATTGATCTATAGTTTCCTTATGTGTATGTGTGTTGTGTCTTTATCATGTTATGATAGTAGGGTGATACTAGCTTTGTAGAATTGGTTTAAAAGGTACCTTCTCTTTCTAATTTATGGAATATTTTGAGGAGCTTTGGTATTTGGCATTATTTCTTCTTTAAAAATTTAGCAAAACTCAACAGTGAACCTGTTTGTTCTGAATTTTTCTTTGTTAGAAAACTTTTTATGACTATTTCAATCTCATTTCTTGTTATTGATCTATTTAGGCTTTTTCGTTTTATTTTCTATTTTGATTCATTTTGTAATGTTATATGTGTCCAAAAATTTGTCCATCTCTGTGATATTTTCCAATTTGTTTTACATATAGTTTTTTAAAAAAATACTCCCAAATGATCCAGTGAATTTCAATGATATCTATTGTATATTCCCCTTCTTATCTCTTTCTATTTATTTGGGTCTTATTTCTCTTCCTTTTAGTAAGTTTAGTCAAGGACTTGTGAATGTTATCTTTTCAAAGAACCAACTCTTTGTTTCATTAAATCTTTGTATTATTCATTTAGTCTCTATTTTATTTATTCTTACCCTAATCTTTATTATTTCTGTCCTTCTACTGACTTGGGGTTTAGTTTGTTTTTGTCATTCTAAGGCCTTGCATTGCTTAGGTTATTTATTTATAATCTCTGTGGGTTTTTTTTGGTTGTTGTTAATGCAAACACTCATAGCTCTGAATTTTCATCTTCATACTGTCTTCATTATATCCTACAAATTATGATATGTTATATTTCCATTTTCATTTGATTCTAGAAATTTTTAAATATCATTCCAAATTTCTTCAATGACTTACTATACATTCAAAAGTGTATTGTCAGCTTGGTGTGGTGGTGACATCATACTTGTCAGGGAGGATCACAAGTTTGAGGTTAGCCTGGGCAACTTAGTGAGATCCTGTCTCAAAATAAAATTAAAGAGAGAGCTGAGGATGTAGCTCAGAGGTAGAATACCCCCATACCACCAAAAACAAGTATATTGTTCAATATCCATGTGTTTGTATAATTTCTGTGTAGTTTCTCTTCCTCTTAATTCTAGTTTCAGTCCATTATGATCTGATTAGATATAAGAAATTATTTCAATTTTTTTGGTATATGTAAGACTTGATTTATGGCCTAATATATGATCTATTTTGGAAAATCTTCCATGTACTTATGAAAATATGTGTTGTACAGTTTTGGGGTGAAATTTCTATGGTTGTATATTAAGTCCATCTGATCTGTAGTATAATTTAACTCTGATGTTTCTTTGTTGGTTTATTGTCTGGGTGATCTTATCACTTGCTGAGGGTGTGGTATTGAAGTCACCTACTATTATAGTATTAATCTTATCTCTCCATTTATATTCAATAGTCTGTGTTTTACAAAACTGGGTACCCTGACATTTGGTGCATATGTATTTATGATCTTTATATCTTCTTGATGAATTGTTCCCTTTATCAATCTGTATCGATCTTCCGTGTCTCTTCTGACAAATTTTGGCTAAAAGTCAGTTATGTCAGATATGCGTACAGCTATTGCTATTTGCTTTCATATTTCATTTGCTTGAAATATCATTCTCCATCCTTTCACTTTTAGACTGTTCATGCCCTTGATGATGACATAAATTTCTTGTATGCAGCAGATTGCTACATCTTATTTTTTAATCCAGTTGGCCTGTATGTATTTTTTAATTGGAGGATTCAGACTATTTACATTCAGGATTACTGTTGAAATGTATGTGTAGGTTTATATAATTTTGTTGTTTAGCTTCTGGTTGTTTTGGATATTCTATGTTTATTTTTCTTATTCATCTTAGAAGATTGATGGTTTTACACATTAAGTTTGTTTGTTTTTCCTAATTGTTATTTGCTCATCAGCTCTTTTAGTGAGATTTATTCTTTCCTGTGTTCTCATGATTGTGTTTATCATTATTCCTCTTCTAGGTATAGAAGTCCCTTTCTTCTGCAGTGCTGGCTTCATGGCCATAAACTCGCTTTGTTTGTGATTAGCATAGAAGGTCCTTATTTATCATTCAAATGTGAAGAATAACTTTGCTGGGTATACTAATATAGATGGGCATTTACTTTCTTTCAGTATTTGAAATACATCATTCCATACCCTCCTGGTGATAATGTTTTCCACTGAGAAATCTGCTTTGGTTTGAATAGTGAGTCTGCACTGCTCTATTGCAGCCTTTACTTTTTGTTCTGTACTTTTGGTTGTGGGAACCAAATGATTTGCTGACCTCTATCCTCATGACTTCAGACCTGGCCCCCAAAATAATATACTTCTGAGGTTATTTCAAGTAACACAAGGGAAAACTGCTGAATTTCTGTTCCATCCATTCTCATATATATTGCAGTCTATGTTCCCTTTATAAATAAATCATAAATAAGTAAATCATAAATAAATACTTGCATAAATTTCTCAGCAAAATTTTGTCAGGGACACTCTTCCAAGTCATACTAGCTCATTTGGCCACTGCATACCCAGTCAGTGCACAGGAATGCTCATAGGGACACTGAAATGTGATTTTGCTGGGTTTTCTGATCCCAGAGCTGATTAGTCCCTAACAATAGGACCCTACTCAAGTTGGATCCTCGCCATAGCACTCTGAGGGTTTGCTGAGAGATGCAGTTTCTTTAAAGCTAGCTTGCTAAACAGACTCCAGGTCATCTTTATTTAAGCTGTTAGTCTGCAGGGTACATCCTTTTATGCCATGCCATGACCCTTTCTGTAGACTTTACCTCCTTGCAGGAATCAGTGCCTTCCCCTGACTAGAGTGTCAGGCACCAGGCGCTGGGGTATTCTACCTCTTTTGCTTTGCTATTCTCTGTTGTCTCTGGAATTCATCAGGTTTAATTTTCTGTGCTACCAATTTCCGGTGTTCACTCATAGTTCCTTACTTCTGTGAGCAGTTACACAATGTTTTTCTTTGTTTCCATCCCATGGAGGAGCAAACTAGTGCTGGCTGTCTCTATTCTACCAACTTGATGTATCCCTCTGCATATTCTTATCCCTGTAATATGACATAGTATAAAATTATGACCTCACACTGCTGATCTGGACAAATGGTTGTTTTGTCTAGTCTTGCTTCCTAGTACCAATGCTAAAAGGAACAATTCATTTATCATGTGTAAAAACAATCACTGTACAAACATTATTTATTTGAGGCAGCCTCTTTAACTTATGAATATCCATATATCATGTATACATGGGTATTATCTACATGTAAGTTTCCAACATATTGAGAGATTATGCTGTGGGTGAGAAATGTAATCTATGTTTTTTGTTGGTACTAAGAGTCCACATTCCTTTTCCTTTCTTGATTGTTATCTCTTTGCTCTCCTACTGCTTGGCTGAAGACACTGGATTTTTATGTTAACTTTTTCTCTGTTTTCCCATAGCTCTATCGTCTGTGTTGGAGTCTTCGAAACAGCACAGAGGAACGTATTGACCTGGATGCAGAAGAGGAGGACCTCCAGGAATCCCCGAAGGATACCATTGAAATAGGTGATTTATGAGTCAAAGCTGATTTACAAGCCATAAAAAGTTACTCTTGCTGGGTGTGGTGGTGTGCACCTGTAATCCCAGCAGTTCAGGAGTCTGAGGCAGAAGAATCATGAGTTCAAAGCCAGATATAGCAAAAGCAAGGCACTAAGCAACTCAGTGAGACCCTGTCTGTAAATAAAATAGAAAGTAGGGCTGAGGACATGACTTAGTGGTCGAGTGCCCCTGAGTTCAATCCCTGGTACAAAAAAAGTACTCTCACAACAGCAAGACTGTGTAAAGCTTTCACTAAATGCCTTCATCAGAGCTCAGATCCCTTCCCTGGGAGGAATGAGGAAAGATGAGATGGATAAGTGGATTTTGGAAAGTTTATGATGAGGCTTGATTGAGGTCAAGAAGGGAGGTACAGGGCCATTTCAGCTACCTTACCCCTCAAATTTAAGTGCTCATTGAATCAGTACATGAGAAGTTTGTCACCCTGACTTGACCATGCTTTGGGGCATGGTCATAGGTAAGAGGTAGGTCAGGGCTCTTCTGACATAGTTTGGAAACAGAAAAGATGCGGGGGGGGGGGTGGAGGGGTGGGGAGAAGCTTTGTTCAATTCTAGTAACATTAAGAGAATAAAAGAATAGAGACTGTTGGGATATTATGTCTTTCCATATCAGACTTAGAAAATCAAATTTCTCTGGAAGCCTGAGATGATGCTTAGTTAGTGCCTAGAGGCTTTCCTTTTAAATTAATGTCTTGTTTAGCGTCAATGTTGGAACTTTTACTCACAATATTGGTGAGATACATACATGGAGAATGGATATGTTGGTGTGCAGAAGTAGGGGAGCTCAAGATCAGATGCTTTTGCTGGTACTGGACTGGAGTGCTCATTGCTCCATGTGAAGTAGAGCGCCAGATGAAGCAGAGAAAATTTTGAATCTGGCCATTAGGAATGTCATAGAATTCTAGCTCTGGAAAGGGCCATAAATATCCTAAGATCTTATTATCTCACTTTATAGACACAAATTGAGGCACTGGGAGGGAGAGACTGTTAATGGTCTTGGCCCTGATACAATATGCTCTTAATGTCTAAGAACATTTCATTTCTGAAACCAGCATCTCTGAGGGTACTGGAGGAACATGGAGCCACAGGCAGCTGTCCATGATGCTGACATCAGGCAGTTCCTTCCTGCTTTCCTGGAGCAGCCAGGCATGAACATGCCCCGCTATTCTTTTTCTTGTTCTCTTCGTTTTTGTGATACTGGGAATTAAAACAAGGACTTGCACCTACTAGACCACTGCTGTACCACAAAACTACACCTTAGCCCTGTGAACATGACCCCTTCCTCTTCTACTTTAAAAAGTGTTTCCATACTGAGTGAGAGTATCAGATTTTAGAAGGACATGGATAAGGAGCCTTGAGTATCAAGAAGTGTTAATATGGAAGAAGAGATAATTTTTGCACCAGAGAAGAGATATGAAACTGATGAACTCAAGGATCCATCTAATTTTAACTCAGAGTAAGAATGTAGACTATTGTACATCTAGGTTATGGATCTGGGTTTGGTGATGCATACATGTAATCATAGTGATTCAAGAGGCTGAGGCAAGAGGATTGCAAATATGAGACCAGCATGGGCAATTAAATGAGATGCTGTCTCAAAATAGAAAAGAAAAAGAACCAGGCCTATGGTTGAATTATAGAATGCCCCTGTATTCAATCCCTATTGAGACAGAGGGTAGGGGGTGTTTTTATAATGAGGTGGAACTGATATTGAATCATGAATTCTATTTTTCATTACCTTGGGAAAGTGAATTGATTTTTTAAAATTCCTGTTCCTTAGCTTTGAGTATTCTATTTGGATATTTTAAGAATTGACTATAATTATCACCATATGATTGATTTTAAGGAAGAGTTTTCTTAGTGAATTGATCTGGAAAGGGATGAGTTTCAGATATTTGTCTCTCAGGGATATTATAGAGGAGACTCTCTCATTGGGAGCAGAATTAGCTTGGCAACCTCTGAGGTTCATGGAAGAACTTGAATTGTTTTTCTTTGATAACTTATGGTGAAATAATAAGAAACACTCTACCATACTAAAGCACAGTAAATTAAGCTCTCTTGATGGACCATGGGTGTCACAATCACCATTCTCTAAGAAAAAGCATTATAAGGAAGATTGGCAATTGCATTACCATCCCCTTATCATATGCATCGCCACCACCATTATCATATGATTGACTGTGACATTTTTATAACATTTAGTTATAAATAACTTACTCATTAAATGATACATTTTGTATTCATATCATAACTGAAGGCAGATAAGGCAAAGATACTTTTTCCAATTTTATAGATGAGAAAAATAAGATGTAGATACTTTCCCAAAACCACTTTATATTAACTCAGATAACCATGTATTTATTTGGCACATGAGCTAGTCAGTGAGTCCATCTGGGATGAAACAAATAGATGGGAGAGGTACAAAAGGGTATGTCTCATGTAGATAAAAAAGAGAGAGAGAGTGGGAGGAGCTTTTTACTTATTAATATATACTATGTAATGAGTTCCTCTCATTAAATCATTAGATTAAATATATCATTAAATTTTCATTAATAAAGCAAACAAGCCAGTATTTATCTACTTTTACAGATACCCAAAATATAAAGAAGTGAATTAACAAGGCCACAAGACTGGACTTGGTACCAGTTGTGATACATTTATGCCCTGGATCACTGAGGATGTTTCCAGTTCTAAAATTCTGTGCCTGTCTTTAAAATATCTGTGACTTGTAAAAATGGGAAAATGCAGAAGAGTGTTCTCTGCAGATGGTGCCAAAAAATAATGTGTTTGATCTCATATTAGTGAGTGGAAGAGAGAGATTGTAAACTGGGTCTGCCTACTTCTGGTGCCACACATGAACTCAGAAGGGAATCCATTCCCTGGTAGGCATCCACTTTGGGTGTAAGGGCCACTTGGATAGTTTGACTCATCAGTATTGATATGCAACACCAGATCTTAAGGCCCAGAAGTATTGATCACTGCTACTTTGCATCAGGAATGGTTCAGACCTTTCTTTGCCATCCAGGTGGGTCTGATGTGGAAGCTTAGAATTCACAGATGTAGCCAAATTCACTCCTGACATGCCAGCCTTGTTGCTTTCCATTAACACAGCAGAGAGCTATGAGTTTATGTATTTCACAGGTGGGTTTTCCATGTCCTTCACACCACAGTTTACCAGCCAACTGTTAACATTTCTCTCTCATAAACTATCACTTGATCTAAATTTTCTAAATCAAAATACATTTTATTTATCTGATAAACAGTTCAGGCTAGTTGATTGTGACAATGTAGAATCCATCCAACATTGTCTTGTACTTACTACTCCCATTCCTGAAAATAAGAAAATTAAGAAATTTCTTCAGAATGGAGATGCTTCATGGAGTAGCATCTTTCTGGAAGCCCCTTCTCATCTCTCCTGCTTCTGTATCCAATAATTCTTTTATGCCTTTCCCTTGATGCAGAAGTTCCTGAGGAGAGAAAAGGGTGCTTCAGGCGGGCCTATGACCTGTTCTGTGGGCTGGACCAGAAGGGACCTAAGATGACCAAGGAAGAGGAGGCAGCTATGAAGATGAAGCTGACAGACACCTCTGAGAAGCCTTTGTGGAGGACAGTAGTGAACATCAATGGCATCATCCTGCTAGCTGTAGCTGTCTTTTGCCATGCATACTTTGCCTGAGTCCTATCTTCTGCTGTAGACTCATCAAGGCTGCAATCTTTACCTCCCTTCAGTTCCATTCTGTAGCATTGAAGGGAAACCAGATAGTTGTAAAATTTGCCCAGTTGGATAAACATGTATACATGTAATTAATTATAGGGTAGCTGAAGGCAAATCATTATTTTGCCATTAACTTATATATTGAAGCCAGTGTAATACTTTCACCTGTACATATTAGAGTCTCAGAAGGAAGGTTGGTTCAGTCATATTCATAAAAATCAGACTAAGAAACAGAAGTCCTATGGTGTCTGATACAGTTTTGTCTCAAGTAGAATCAGTGTGTCCACATTCTTTGTGATCCTTGAATACTATTTTTAGAGTTTTAATCTCTCAATTTCTAACCATGTCTCAACTTCTCATCTTTATTTTTTAAGAAAAAATTTCTCCCACCATCATATTCTTCTCATGTTTTTCCTTGTACTAGAGATACCAATCTGAGAAACCAATGAACACCCAGAAGTTGAGGAAGAAAATTTGATGGAGTCTTGTCCTTGTTATTTGCTCCTTGAAGTACAGGCCTCAGAAAAGTTGTACTAGCCCAATAGGGAGGGCCCCAGGCCCAAGGGAAAACAGATAATCTTGAGTCCAGGGAATTTTCTTATCTTTTTAAAGATTCCCATTGGGTGTTCCTCATGTTTGGGATTTCACTCATTTTGACATTCAATATTCCTAGAATGTCTTGGCCCCTCAGTAAGTCTTTATTTTTTATTTTCTTTTTTTCTAAATCAATGATACTGGCCTTTATTTACAGATAGTTTTGCCTGGTTCTTGGTTAACCAGTTTTTGTATACATACTTTACCCTCTGGTGATTTTAATAAACTTAAATGCATTTGTCAGAGGCTACTGTGCCTCATGGTGCTGATGTTGACCCATGGACTTAGAAGCTGACATTGTGTCACTTGACAGAGAAAATGCATCTCCCAGGGTATCTGTCATGTCAATACAGCTTCATTCTCCAAAGAAACATTGAAATAATTAGCCTAGGTTTGATCCTTCATTAGTTCATGTGACTACAGCTATTATTCCTTTATCAGGTGTCTTGATTGCAAATCATCTATTGACAAAGGTTAAAATGCATTGTCTCTATTTCAGGTGATGGTAATCCTTGCCTCTATGTGAAAACAATGTAGTTTTCATTGAATTGTTTCCTAGTAGGAAATCATTTTTATTTAATTTAAATGTAATTATTTTTAAAAATTCTACCTGTGAAATCTTAATGATAATATATTCACATTGGAGTTAAAGTCAACTTGTTTGTATTGAATGATTTGGAAAAGAGTTTTGGGTTTGGAAAAGAGTTTTGAGAGTAGGTTTTGGGTCTAGAAGAAGTAGCTTGACAGGGGATGGCTTATTCTTGTGGAAGGAAGGAAACCTAGTGTTCACTGCTTTAGGTGCATTCTTAATCTAAGCAAAGAATAGGGAAAATGGAGATTTTCACATGGCTAGCATTACTTAAAGGAATGTCTTGTGTGGAGTTTGTGGTAAGTTTTGACCTTTGAGAATAAAGGGAGAGGATTGAATAGTATTAGATGAAGTGCCTTGTGTTTGGTTTCTGTCTTAGTCAATGATTTATTATATATATTGGGGTAAATTATTTTGTCTCAACTGTGTATTTTTTCTCTTTGAAATATGGGAAACTTGATGATTATGGGATCTTCCTGCCTCCTGTGGTATAAATAAGTTACTTTGAAAAGGGGATGGGAGATACATACATGAAAGATGCCATACAGATGCTATATTAAGCTGCATTAGAGTCTCAGCAATTAAATGTATTTGAAAGAATACAAACGTTGAAATCTCTAACATCTAGAGATCATAAATAAATACAAAACTGGTTAGCACAAGGTATGGTTTAGGAACAGGAGGTCAGGATAGTTGAGAATAAAATTGGGCAACTTGAACAATTTCTTTTAAATGTAGCTAAAGCTGGACATGGTGGTGCAGTTATGTAGTCCCAGCTAATAGAGAGGCAGAGGAGGGAGGATTGTTTGAGCCCAGGAATTTGAGACCAGCCTGGGCAACACAGTGAGACCTCATCTAAAAAGTATAGCTAAGCTTGAAGATAATTTTCAGATGCAAGCCTCTAATAAACCTGTATAATGTCCTCCTAAAATAGACTGCTACTTGGGTAACCAGAGGCCAGTAACTGATAAATTATATTTGAATCATTTCAGGAGAACATGGAAGAGCTATTCTTGTTCTCAAACTGAAGGTGGTATTGTACAAGGAGCAGAATGATAACTTATCAATGCTCAGTTTATAGAACTGAAAAATTACAATTTAGTGGAATAAAAAGCTTGTTTAAATACAGATGATAGTTTTGAAAGGACTATCTCATAATGAAAAGGCAGGTCTCCTTCCTTGCAGAGTGAAGTAGGTCCTGAGCCTCCCTGGGAGCACTGCTTACTTCTCTGTAGCCCAGTCAGACACTAGTGTTCACTTAGGGATAGTTTTACTTTGGGGACTTAAAGGAATCCACTTTTCCATGGTGCTGAAATCACCATCTCCTAAATGATATGTGGCTGCTTCACAAAAGCAAACCTCAGGAAAAAAATCATATGTGTGCTTGGTTGGAGGAAAGAAATTTTCATTAATAATTCCTCTTATCCCACTCCAAAAAATCACACCTAACCTCCAGATTGTGATTTGGTGCATGAACTTGTTTGAGTGAGGTGCCATCATTGTTTGAGTAGGTTGGTGGGAATGGGATGAGATTAGGAAGAAGTCAACAGGGCTGGCATTGTTTGGCTCTTTATGAGGGGGGGAGTGTTTGCTGGTGAGTGTCCTTTTGTAGCAGAGCCTCATGTTGCCTCCCTAACCCAGCCCAAAATTTTGGTCATAAGGGTAACTCTTAGTAAAAATCTATGTTCATATATGAATACATTACCAGTGAAACTCCACATCATGTGTGACCACAAGAATGAGAGATCCTAATTAGAATAAGTTATACTCCATGTACGTATAATATCCCAAAATACACTCTACAGCCATGTATATCTAAAGAGAACAAATAAAAAATTAAGTTATTTAATATAATTCATCACATGTTTAGAAAACTGGTAACAAATGCTCATCTGTTAAAGGGGACTTTTCTACACATGAGTGCTTGTAGCACAGACAAGTGAATTTCAGAATCAGACAAAGGCTTACAGTCATGGTTCTCAAACTATAGATTGCATCAGAATCCCCTGGTGGACTTGTGTGAACGTGGATTGCTGGACCTACCCCAGAATTTGTGATTCGATAGATCTTGGAATAGAGCCTGAAATGCATTTCTCACAAGTTTCCAGATGATTTTGATGCTGATAATCTGAAGAAAACACTCTGAAAACTACTATTTAGGTTAATTTCCAAAATGATTTCATTACCAAGGCATACTGAGCTAGTGGAACTTCCCCCCAGGTCTTCCTTTGATATTTCTAGTGATACCTTAGGATCAAAAGTCTTTTCTAAAGCCAAGGTTTAAGTATGTCTGAGGCACATTATAATGCCAAAGTATAATAAAATCCTACCCCACTAACTTTAAAGGATCCTCTGTTTAATTCTTCCCTCTTATTTAGATATACAGGGTCTGACACTATTTTAAAAAGTTCTTTATGAGGTTTTTAATTGATGAATAAAATATATTTATTGTGTACAACATGATGTATTGATATATGTATACATTATGAGATAATTAAAGCCAGCCACTTAATATATCCATTACTTCACATACTAACTTGTGATGAGAACATTTATAATATACTCTCATCAATTTTAAGTATATAATATATTGCTATTAGGTATAATCAACATATTGTACAATATATTTCTGAAACTGATTCTACCAGAAAACCTGAAAATTTCCATTCTTTGACCAAATCTCCCAAATATCTTTCTCTTCTACCTCCTGGTAACCACCAATCTGCTCTTTGCTTCTGTGAGTTTGAGAAGAGAAAGCACTAACATTTATTCCATAGGCTTGTGATTCTCTTTCCTTCTGCTGCATAGCACCCACTTTGGATTATCTTTCCACAGGAACTCTGGTTTGTGGGTGCACAGGGTACAACTCTGCATGTGGGATTCATTAGCCTCAAAATTCATTAACCCCCAGTATTTCAGAATGTGATTGGATGGGGATATAGGGTTTTTAAAGGTGATTGAGTTAAAGTGAGGTCATTAGGATTGGTCCTAACCAGTAATATTTTACTGGTGTCCTTAGAAGAAGAGGAGATTTAGGACACAGAGGAAAACTATGTGAAGACACAAGGATGGATATCTACAAGAGAAAATGAAAGTCTTAAGGGGAACCCTGTGGACACCTTGATCTCAAACTTTTTGCCTATAGAATATTGAAAAGATAATTTTAATTTTTTTCAGCCTATCAGTACTTGTATTTTGTTATGGCAGCTCTAGCAAGTAGATACAGTCTAGAAGGGAGCTGTTAGAGCCTCTTCTGTATTTTTTTAGATGATGTATTTATCTAGTTGGTACCCATTCAACACAAAGCCAATCATAATATTTCTTATTTCCTAATTCTTACTGTGTGTATGTGTGTGTGTGTGTGTGTGTGTGTGTGTTGCTGGTGAAGGAACCCAGGATCTCATGTATGCTAAGCATGTGCTCTACCATTGAGCTACACCCCCAGATTATTTTATGTATTCTTGATGGTCTTGTATTTGGGGGTTCTTATAGACTTGGGAAAAGGCTTCATCTCCCAATTTTTCTTGAAGATTTAAAGGGATTGGCTGGGATTATGTCTTTCTTATACAAATAACCTGATTTCATGCCTATAGGCACAATCACCCCTTTATCTTAACCTTTTTTCTGGCCCCTTTGTGCTTTCTTTTTATTGTATCCTATGTGCTACTCAGTACTCATTTTCAGGATCCAGTTATCTTATGGACCACAGTTAACCTATACTACTAGTCTCTCCCTATACTTTTCACTCCTTTATAATTCTCTTGAAATCCATCATCAACTAGGCCCCACCAAGAACACACCTGTGGTCACACAAAGCTAGGTTGATTCAAGAATTTGAGAAACAGAATTTGAGTTTCTCACCAAAAAAAGAAGATACAGAATTATTATGTGATTTTTAATAAATGTAGTGTTTAGAGAAATTTTACATACTGTCATATATTTTTAGCTCAAAGTACAGCAGAGACTGTATGCAAAGGGTTCAATAACCAGCCTAGTCTAAGAATCAGATTCACGAGTCCTATTATCTTGGGAATTCAATGTTGAGATCAACATGGAAATACTATATTTGAAAATTTTATATGTGAAGCTTTGAAAGTTAGTTGGAAATTGATGCTATTTTTCTTTTTCTTTTTTGAGAGAGAGAGAGAGAGAGAGAGAATTTTTTAATATTTATTTTTTAGTTTTTCGGCAGACACAACATCTTTGTTTGTATGTGGTGCTGAGGATCGAACCCGGGCCGCACACATGCCAGGCGAGCGCGCTACCACTTGAGCCACATCCCCAGCCCCTTGATGCTATTTTTCTACCAGTGATTTTCTAAATGTATTTTTGTATATGTTATTTAGACCTTTTGGCAAGCAGTGAGAGTTTTCATTCTCACAGAAAATTTCAAAATAAGGAAGATTATCAGATGATGATTTCAGAGAATATATTATCTGCATCACATCCTCAAGTCACATAAACTACACTTACAGGTTCACATTTTTTTACTTTAGTCTCAAACCCCAATTCTAACCCCTCTAAGTCTGGAATATCAGGGTTTATCCCTGGAAGACAGGCCTGGCCTCATCTAATTTGATGCTCCCTATGCTCAGGTTTGATGTCATGCTCCATCTGCCTGAAATTATATATTACCCCAGATCTTATAGAAATGGGCCAGGTATGAGATCAAGAATCACTGTCTGTAACCATGACCACCACTTGAAGCCCCAGCACCATGATGAGTCTTCTTCCTGAAAGATTAAGAAATGGCCTTGCTGCCAGGTATTGTATCAGTTTTTCCCTTTTCTCTCTTTCCTTCCCTTTCTTTCTCTCCACCAGTTTCTATTTCTCTGAATAAAAGACTTGTTTATGGATAGGTTCCCATCAAAATTATTCTTTGGTTCAAGGCCATACCAAGTAGATTTGAGGCTCTCTATCACCCTTAAAGTTGAGAGAAGAACATCTACCTGATAAAATAAAATTCTCCACCTGCCTGTTGCTTATGAAAAAACCCACTGTGGTTTTTTGACTAGTCCTAACTCATTGTGACTTATCTCTTTCCCCATTATCAAATCTTCCCTCTATCCTTTCCATTTTTATTAACATCATTAAAAGCCTGTGTACAGGTTAAGAGCTTGGAATTTTGAGTCTAAAAAAATAAGTTGAAATCTTGTCTCCTTGTCTATTAGTTGTATATCCTAAGGAAGTGTATTTATTTATGTTCCTTTAACTGAATTTCTCATCTGGAGTGTGTGAATAATAAGACATTCCCTACTGTATTTTTAAAAAAGTTTCACAGCAACAGTGCTTTGCATACAGCCTGACATATTATCTGCCCCCCAAAATGGCTATCTCCTTTTAAAACAGCTATTCATCACTTTCTCATCTAAAATTAGCTACTATATTTTAATTAACTAAGGCAGAAATCTT